ATGACAATACAATTATCTTAACTCGGAAATCCATCATTTCCGAGTACTTACATATATATACATATATACATAAATATGTACATAGCAATTTTTGTATTAATTTTAAAATATATATTTTTTTTCTTGCAACATTTAATTTTTTATCTTAATTATTTATTCATACATACAAATATCTTATATAGGTTCATAATTATATGCATTTTGCTTCCTTATTTTTCACAATTTAAAATGCAATGAAAATTAAATTATATTTTTTTTAATAGAGTTATCGGCATGATATTGCAAATATTTTAATTACATCTGGCAGCTCTCGTTTTTGCATACCAACAATATACAGGCTTTTTCATTTTAAACAACATTACATTTTTATTACAGCCTGTTGAATTGCAATATTACTAAGATATGTATGTATGTACGTAGATATATACATAAATTTAAAATTTAGGTACTGAAAATTTGAAATAATAAAAATAAATAAATTAAACAAAAATTATAAGAAAATAATTAAAGTTTTAACTTAAAAGAAAATAGGAAAATAATTTCATTAAAATTTTTTTTTTTTTGCCAGTTGCCAGTCACATAAAATTTTATTCCAAAAAAATAATTTTTATAGTTATCATTAAATGGTTGGCTAAGTTAAATCTCTCATTAAATATTTAATCTGTATGAAAATTTTATTTAAAACAAAAAAAAATATTATGGTAAGTACGAACTAATGTTAATTTTCAATTATTTTATTACTATCTATGTACCAACTTATTTCTTTTTGCATATAATTAATGATCTACATATACATACATACATATATAAATTTGCAGTGCTTTTAAATTAAAAAGGAAGTAAGTAGTAGATTTAAATAAAAAAGGGCAAATTTTTTTATTCTTTCTTTTCTTTGAATAAAATATTATTCTAATTTTCAGACTAAAAATAAAAATATATTATTCCGAAAATGAAAGACAGTCTTTCTAGTTTCTTGATATGATCAAAATTAAAATGTGTTAAATAAACGTTTATCGTAAATCTTGCGTCCGGAACAAAAATATTAAACAAAATGCAGAAGAAAAGCAATAATGTTGAAACAATGTAAAATCCATGAAATGCACTATTTTTTTAGTCTTACGATATTTAAAAATTAGACAATAAATACTAATAAAATTGAACCTTTAAATCCTAATCTTGCAAGTGTATTGAAAGAAACCCGATTAAAGCTTAATTTTTTTGAAATTATTTTAGAATTACATTAAAATAAATTCTTGAGAATGATTTTTAAGAAATTTTTTTTCCAGAATTTCCACATCAATTTCATTTAACTCAATGTAAAAAATTTATAACGTCCCTTGTGATTTCTATACACACTGCAGAAGTTATAAAAAATCTTCGAATAATTAAGAAAACAAAAAAAAATTGGTTTATTAAAATTTTTGTCATAAAAATAGTTAAATGCACTTTAATGACTACCTACTTCTTATTATTTTTGTTTTTAAATCTTTTATACAAAATAAATTTTTCTCAATTATTAAAATTATTAAAATTTCATTAAAATTCCATTAAAATAGATTAAAAAATTGCCGATACAAAAAAATATGTAATAAAAAACCATGATCTACCCATACAAAATATTTTACAGCCACGTTATTATTGTAAATTTATTTCTGGTGATGTTGGTACACAATATGTATACATACATACATATGTACATCATAATAAATATATTCATTAAAATATACATACATATATACAAAATCTATGTTGAACATTTATTTATACATTTTATTTTTCTATTTATTAAATTAAATACATAACTAAGAAATTTTTAAATAAGCGAAATTTATAGCGAAACCAAGCATACAATAAGAAAAAAAAATTAAACATACGATAGAGGCGCACACCACCGCGCACTATTGCACAAACAACAGAAAATTTAAAAGAAATTTTCAACTTTTCTTTTGATTATCTGTTAGCGTTTTTTTTCTTAATTTATATTTTCTTTCTCCTCAAAATATTTATAAGGTTTTAAAATAATTATTACTTTAATTAAATGGTTATGATTTTAACCAGTTTTTATTTTTTAAATTTTATTCAAAAAAAAAATGTAAAAACTAGTTTTCAAAATAGCCCTAAAGTAATCATAATATAATTTTAATAATATCTTATGACAAAAAAAAAGACATCCCCCAAAATTAATTTCAAATTTCCTATAATTTGTTTATTAAGAAAGCATTACATAAGAGTTTTCGTAGTAATGTTTGGGCTAAGTTGATTTTAGCTTAGTTGGCTTCTATTAATTGTTAAAAAAGAAAAATATTTGTAAAAATTTATTTTTTCAACATTACATTAAGAGTAATGTTGAAGAAATTCACCTCATAGAAGTAAATCACTCAATTAATTTTCACCTCATAGGAAACTTGAAAAATTTTAAAAACTCTAAGAATCCATAGGTTTAATACGCTTAATAAACACGCGGAAGGAGCAAGTTCCTTGGCATAAAGTTTTAAAAATTAATTAATTTAGTCAAGAAGTCAAGTGGCATTTGGAGGTTTTAACACAATACATTATATTATTTGAACGACATTCATTTATAGTTTTCCAGGGCCAAACACCGAAACAATAGAAAAAATTCTAACATTTTCAAGGGACTGGATTTGGTATATGAACTTTAATAGTGGCTATATCTTTTAGATTTAATTAATCTTAGATTTTCTAATTTTAATTAAACTTAGCATACAATCAATTACAATAATAATGAATTATATTCCTTCTGCATAAAATCTCTTCTTTAATTTCAAAAACTTAAGATTCCCGTTCCATTAACTATTCAACTCTTTTAATAATTTTATTGTCCATTCATCTTCTTTTCACTAAATTAATGTCACTAAGAACAAAAAATGTGTTTATGCAATAGATATTATAGTAAAATAAGTATTAAAATTTAAAAGTAAAACATGCTATTTTAAGTGAACCACCGCATTTTATGTAGTAAATAAAAAGAAATAAAAACTGTAGTAAATAATTTAGAAATTAGAAATCGTAAAATATTTAAAATTTCTTAGTCAGACAAAAAAAAATATAAGAATAGATCAAATGAAATAAAATTTACTATAGTTTTATAATATGAATCATAGCATCCGAGATGAAAAATATAAAACATTATGATTGGTTCTTGAATGTAGGATTCTTCAAAAAAAAAAATTATACAGCAAAGTAAGAATCATTTCAGACAGCAAACGTTTATGCGGAACAGGAGAAAAAGGAAATTATGTGGCTGTTTCTGTACCATCGCCATGGATTAATCATATTCTCAATGTAAACAAAAATACATGCTGGTACATAGGTATAGATCATGAATTTCAATGTTTTTTTAAATGTATATTTCTTTTTTGTTTCTAATTAATCACTAAATTATGCGTTATTATGTTAAAAAAATATTACAGAGTTTATTAATTTTTAAAATTGTTTTTTAAGTCTTTCATATTGTAGCACCACGTAAAAAAAATCTGTTTTTTTTTTATAAATAAAGTGTACTGAAAAGTACATTGCTTCTTCAATTCTTGGCAAAAATTCAAATTTTCAACAAAAAAAAAAAAAAAATTAAAGAATTTATTTAATTTTATGTATTAGTTTTTCGCATTACGTATGTAGGTACTTAGCAAAGAAAAAATTTCTTTTCAAAAGCCAAAAATCAAATTCAATTGCAATTTTTTTTTCAAAAAAAAATGGAAAACTGCAATAAATCTGCAACCAAAAGTTATTTATATTAGCGACAATATATAAGTTCATTAACTGATAAAACTGAGCCTAAAAGTTGAAATCTTTGAGAAATCTAGTAAACAAACGCTACTAACAAAATTAAATTTGTAAAACCAACAACTTTTTGTGAATTCCAATTTAAATGTTAAACATTAATTTTTTGAAATATGGATTTATACAGTGCGGAAGATACCTGAATTCAAGTTGAATGTTTTTGAAAGAAAACCCAAAATCCATTTGCTAATTTCATTCTGTAGTAGAAAATTCTATAGGGCAATTTAAATAAAGGAAAATATCGCCGTATATTAATCAAATAACCTACATTTAGGTAAATACACGTACAATATTTTATATAAAAATTTGCGAATAATTAAAACGTCTCTTGTGATAAGATTTTCTCGTAGAGTAGGTGGGTACGTACATTATATATATATACAAAAGTGCGTATGAACGTCACATGTGTTTTCTTTCATGTACAATATAATTATATACATAATAATATGTAAGTAGGTATAGGTACCTACACAATAGTATCTTGACAAAAATCCTTGTCTAAGCATCTTTCCGGAAATTATTCAATCAAAAAATTTTCCATAATATTGACATAAGATAGATACCTATCAATTGTTGCCCTTTATTGGAAACAACAGATACTCAATACTTATATACGTATGTACATATGTAAATATAATTCCAGTTAAGTATAGAGGTACATTTAGAATTTAATCAGAAATCTATCAACTTATAATTTTTATCTAAAAATTTTTAAATTTTTTTATTAAATTTTTGAAAAGCTTCACTAAACATAAGAAGGCTGGTAAGTGGGTGTGTAGGTTCTTACTATGTATTTACTTATCTATCTAGGTAGATATAACCAGAATAATTAATCAACAAATCATATGGTAAAGTCCACTATACCTAAAATTATTTCGTAATTTTCAAAGAAAATTTATAAGTTATGAAAAATATTATTTGACTCACATTCCTTCGCAACATTTCTAATTAAATTTTGCCATTATTTAATTCTATTAGAAAATAATTGTGATTGAACTAATTTTTCTAAGTTTGTTTTTGTTTATATTACAATGGTTGTTTTTATTTTTGTATAATGAAATTCTATTAAATTTTTATATGTAATATATGGTATTTAATATTAACTGGTTGCTTATTATGTGGGTAGGTAAGTAGGTATACCCATTATTTACAGTAATATCTTGTAATATAATGTATGTATGTAATTCAAAAATACTTACCAGAAATTATTTCAGCAGCTGTTTCTTCAATGATTCGCTCAACCATTTTGTTTTCTTTTTTTTTCTAGTTTGTTGCTCTACAAATATTGTACTTTAAAAATTTTTTGGCTTTTTTATTTTAAATGTCTTTCAAATTAGAAAACGAAATCCAATTGAAATTTAGAATTGTTGAGGTTTTGAAATTTATTAAAAAAAAAAAATATGTAAGCGGCTATAGCGTAAATTTGAGAAAGTGATAGTGTTGCAAATAATTAATATGCCATCTAATCGATCTTAATAACATTGAACAAGTTTTAAAAAAAGCAAAAAAAAAAACGAATGATGGCTAAACACGTAAGTATTGCACAAATTTATTTTTACGATAATATATCTATGTATATATTATGTAGTTAATTGTTGTGTGATTTTGTTGTTGGAAAGATTTTTTGATATTTATTCTTAAAATTTGAATTTCATAATTTATTGTAGTTGTTCTCTTAAAATATTGATATATACTTAAATATTTGAAGTATATATATTTTTTTCCCTTATAAAATGAATAAATGTGATTTCATTGGATGAAAAATTTATTATGTAGTTATTTTTTGTATATTGATTTCTTCAGAAAAGTGAATAGGACTCCTTTTTGAATTAATATTCTTTTCGAGACGTAAAGAAAATAATCCAGTCGCAATTTTTTAGTTTTGCTTCTATATTTCCATAAATAATAATTCCATTTAATTGTGCTTATTAAGTTTTGCTCTGTGAAAAGCTTCCAATTTCGAGAAAAACGCAAGTAAATAAGGCCAAAATTTACACTTTATACAATAAAAATAAAGAAAAAGTTGGATTCTTTTTTTATTATATTTTTAGTATATTAATTTTTCAGCTACCGCTCCATTACATTAAAGGAAAATTAAAACAAAATTAAACCAAACTTCTCACAACCCGAACGTCAACTGCGTACTGCAAAGAGCAAATACAGTCATCTTCAAATTTTATTTATATAAATGAATTGGTTGCCAAATGTCAAATATGTCAACTTGACGTTTCAAATATGATGGCAGCTCTGATATGATGTTTGTTATATTCCAGTCCACTCCAGTTAAAAATATGATAGTATTTTAATGATTTTCTATAAGGAGTCAATTTTAAAATAAATTATCAACTTTTTTTCTAAATGAGTTTTATTAAAAATACACTGAAAATCAGTTTTAAAAAGACGAATTTTAACGAATAACATCGTTTTGACCAGTTTTGGAGTATTTTGTAGTTGTTAGTAAATTTTATAATTATTAGTTAAATCGAACCGTATTTTGTATTGAATACTGTTATTTTTAGAAATAAAAACCAATTGATAAATTCTTCAAGATTTCGAAATTTTTTATTTATAGGAAATCCGTTATGAAGTAACATATATTGTAACTACTCTTAACTACACCCGTTTATGTTCCCAGGTGTAGTTTAGTGTTTTTGTGGTTCCAATATTATTTTATAAGTCAAAAGAACGTATCTACGTACCAATCATAAATAATAACTACCAACCTAGTAAAACCATATACAATATCTGACATATAAAATGACAGATTGATTTGTTTACTATTTTTTTATAATTAATGGGCAGATTACATTTATTAAATAAAAATATTGAGACGTACAGATTTACGAGTGAAACCATCTAAGATTCATTGTACGGAAACTCAATCAAACGAAATTATAAATTATTAAGAAAAATAAAATGGAAGACGCGATTCCTCCAGAAAACAATGTAATAAAGCCATTCAGTTGTGATGAAAATTTGATTATCGATCTCCAGAATACTTATTCTTCAATGAACAAGAGTTTAGATGATATTAATGAAATCAATAATTTAAAAGACATAATAGTAGGAATAATTCATAAAAGGGATTTACAACGAAATGAAATTGATTTAGCTTTCAAAATATATTATAGAACTTTACAAAAATTAAAAATACGCACAGATACAGAATTTTTTGAAAACTTAAATAAATGTTCATTTAACCATCAACCCTTTATTATCAACGCTATAATCATAACAAGTAAATTTATTAAAATATAATTATGTTTAATATATATATGCATAATAACTAATTTTTAGATTTTCAGAAGCATCTTGAAAAAGACAGTTTAATAGAAATATGCAACAAAATATTTTTGAGATGCGTATTAGAAAATTCGAAAAATTTGATTGTAATTTTAAAAGCTATGAATTTATTAAATAAAAGATATCCAGAATCTAAATTTAATATATCACTGGATAATGTATATTTTTGTCTTCAAAATAATACAAGTTTTCGGATACGAGATGAAATTTTACAACTTTTTGAACGTTATGTTCAGCGATCACCAGAAGAGGCATGTGAAATAGTTTTTATAGTTCTGAATTATATGCCATGGACAAACAAAAATAAATTTTATATATTATCAATCATTTTTAAAGTATATTCATATGAATTTGTAAAAACAAGGGTTGAATTTGAAAATGAAGAATTTTTTGAAGGCATTCGTCTAGCTTTAACTTTCAAGCACTTATTTTCTGCGGCACAATGTTTAATTAGAAGTTTAAATAATTTAAGTAATGAAATTTTCATAGAATTTATTTTAAAATTATTCGAAAATGCATCTGAAAAAGAGATGGTCAATTTGAATTCCCAGTGGTGGAAACATATTGAAAATCGTGAACAAATATATTTTAAATTAAATATGGACAATATTTTTCGAAATGTAACTCAATCATCAAGTGGTACCTATCGAAATATTTTAATTTGTTATTTATTTAGAAGTAATATTCTTAAGTCGGATGAAAACACATTCTACAAAATATTAATATATTTCATTGACCATTATGGAAAGTTCGACGAGAAGGCGCAATTATTTATTTACAAATTCATAACAGATACTTTATCCAATGTGAATTTAATGGAAAGATATGGATTATTTAATGACATAATGAATTTTTTTGTAGGATTTTTTAAAGTCAACATTTATACTTCTTTGCCAGATTTTCGGCAATCTATACTAGAAAAAGTACCTGATATAATTAATTTTGCTTCAAAGATCTTACATTGGGCTTCCGATACAGCTTCAGCGAAATCTGTGCAGCTTATAAATGAAATTGAAATATTTTTTCGTAACATTATAGAAATTTATGAATGTGGAATTTCATTATCAAACGAATACCAACCAATAATTTTTTCTTTGAAACTATTTAATCAAACACTAAAAACCATTTATTTAAAACCAGAAAGAATCAACGTTAAAAATTTAACAAATCAAAAGCTAATAGAATTTTTAAATGAAAAATCGATATTTGATTTTAAAAAAGTTCAAATTCAACTTCTGCAATTACTTGATAATGATTTAGTTCAATATGATGATGTTCAGGCTATTACTGTCAATATAATCAACTCAATCAATTTAATAAGCAGTGAATCGCCAGATTATGAAGCAATTTTGGAAAATTGTAAAATAAAATGCAAAAGCTTGGAATATAATAAATGTTGTAAGGCTTCAATAATTGCTTCACTTATAGTTGATAAAAACTTAGATGCTAACAATCGTTTATATGAATTTTGTATAAATAATTTGTCGAACTCTTTTAAAAACTTTGAACAAGATCCACTCCTCATGTGCAAAACTGTACATCACCTATTTGGTTTCATTAATTGTTTGAATATTTTATTTTCTACTGAGAAACAAAAATATTTGTTTGAAGATTATGAAAATGTAATTGAAATATGTTTTGATATAAATAAAATTATATTAAAATTATTGAAAATCGCTAACGAAAATATTGATGAAAATACTTCTGCTAGTTTTGAAATAATGGATGAAAGCTTAGACTTATTGCTTCAAAAATCAAAAATTAAGACAGATAATAGCATATTAGATCGTAAATTACTGTTATTGTCTTTTTGGACAACATTAAAGGTAACTTAAAAAATAAAGTAAATCAAAGTTAGTTTTATGTACAAATTTGTTTTTAATTTTCTTATTGAATGTAGGCTACCTGTGATATGGCTACCACTATAGGTATAAACTTATTTAACTTAGAGAAAGAAGACTGTTTAAAACTAGATTTGTTTGAAAAATGTTTGGACATTAATATTAACGTTTTATGTAAATGTCGACATAAGGGAGCTATTGAAGCTGCTGGTATTTCATTAGGTAAGTCTGTTTTTGAAAAAAATGGAAGCATCCTAAACATTTTTAAATAACTATATATGTATTTAAACAATTTCAAATAATTTTCAAGGTATTCTTGTAAAGCATACAACAAATTTAGTAAACAATAGATCCAAATTTTACAAAAAACTTTTTAAATGTTTTGATATGCTGTTCAGTAACGTTAGTAATAATAGTTTAACTCGAAGAGGAGCTGGCTTATCTATAATGCTTCATCATTTATTGAAAAATGATATGGACAAATCTAAGTTACTGTTTTATCATGGAATGAAAATTATTATGTCACATGTTCAAAAAAATGAAACACCAATTGAAGAAGCTGTATTGATATCAACTAATGGAGAAAATTTTGATGCTTTAATGTTGCATTATTTGTGCGTTTTAGTTAAAGATACAGAATTAAAGGATTACGTAGCCGAATTCTATGATGATATTATGATGGCTGCAATTAAAAGAATAGAGCATCGAGAATGGTGTGTCAGGTTAGATTTAAATGAAATTCTTTTTCTATATTGTTCTTATAAAGATTATGGTTTCAGAAATGCAGCATTACAATTATTTGGTGGTATAGTACCCAAAATGGTTGGTCAAAAGCAATCAAGTGATATTGAAACGCCACTTGTATTGTACTCAAGTGAAGTGACACTCAGAGAAATTTCAATTAAAGTACCAAAAACTTTGTTCTATATATTGAAGTATTGTTATAATATCTGTAATGATACAACATTTAGAAACCAAAAATCTTATAGCACTATAATACTTTTTTTAGAATTTCTTTCAAACATCGAATATTTGAAATTAAACTTTAGTAATAATAACACTCATACCGAGGAAATTTTATTGCAATATCGTGAGTTATTTTGGAAACTTTTAAGTCATAAATGCGAAAAAATTAGAAAATTATCTGCAACTTGTTTGGTTTCATTTCATGATCTTAATGATGAAATTATGAATTTAATTTTAAGTCTTATAAAAACATTTAATATTATTTCAGAACCTAATTTTGAACAAGGTTTATTATATGCTTTAATTAGCGGAATCAATAAGATAAAAAATGGAAAGTATTTAAATAAAAATTATGAAGAATCTTTTCTACTTTTCCGAACTTATTTCATAGACAATTTCAGGAGGAAAAAATTATCATATTATGTTAGAATAAAATTATTAGATTTACTAATTTTATTGGAATTCGATTTAAATTGTCACTTTGTTCATGATTGTTTATTAGACGATAAAGATATTTTTTCCAATCAAACTCAAAACGAATCAGAGCTTTTAAAAAGGCACAATTGTGATTTTGGTTATTTTTTATGGTATGAAAATGTACAAAAGATTTTGAGTAAAAATTAAAATTATGGTACTTGTAGAAATAGGTAAAATTATTTAAGCATGTAATTTTGAGTCCACAATAATAATTATGTATTTAAAAAAAAAAATTTTTTTTCTTAAATAGTTATGATTTAAAAAAATAATCTCTAAAAATTGCTATTAAATTGTTTATTATACAATTAACGCTCATTAACAATAATATAAAATATTAATGATTCGAAATGAAGTTCATTGAAATCTTCAAAAAAATTTTATGGATAACGCATTTAGATTAATAAAATATTAATTGAACAAAAAAAAAACTTGTGTTACTTAAAATAATTTCAAATCCATTTCGGCTTGACTTTTGCCATCAGTATTAAAATTAGGATTAATATTTATTGAATTAATTCTTATCATTGTGTGTGGCGACCTAAAGAAATTGATCCTTTGATATTGTTTTCTTCTTTTCTTTCGAAAATGTGTTTTTGTGTGACTTAAAGTTTTTTCAATGATTGTCGCTTGTACATCACATATACCTGGTTCCAAAATTGGTTGACCTATCAGTGTAAAATCATTTGCACCTACTAAAAGAACTTTATCGAGCCGAATCTTGTCACCATTTGTTGGAGGCCAGTATCCTTGTACAAGAATTATATCGCCATCTGTAATTTTGAATTGTTTCCCACATAGATGGACAACAGCAAACAATCTTGTATCCTGATTTTTTAACAAAACATCTTTAACATTATCAATTAAACCTTTGGGTTCTACCTTTGAGATGCTGCTTTCAGTCACAACTTTTTGGTTATATAGTTGTGTGTTACTAAAATTGGCTTTTGGTAAAAAACTGCTAACGCTGTTAATATTCTTTAACTCTAAAAAAAATCAGTATTTTAGTAAATAGGAAAAACAATAGCAATTTCAATCTTACTTTGTAAATTATTAAAAAAAAGACACTTATTTGATGTAAGCCTTGATAATAATTGAAACATATTAAATAGTTAAAAATAATTCAAAATACAAAACTCGTGAATAATTTCATTTGGACAATATTGTTGTTGAGTTATTGACAATTGACATTTGAGAAAGCTATCAAATACTCAATGTTTACATAATACAAATAACGAGAATGGCAACTCTTGCCATATAAGCTTGTTCAATGACATGTTTTGTGTTCCATATGTATTTGAAGCTATAAAATGTGGTCAAAAATGTATTTTTTCCATTTTATTTCATTCACCATTTACTTTCATTATAATAAATAAGATATATTTCCTTTTTTTTATAACTTGTACTATGCAAAATATATTTCCTAGTTTAAGTACAATAATATAATCTTGGTGTCTTTACATTCTTGCTGTTTTTATAACTTATAAGCTATGTTGCCGTTGTGTTTCATAAAAAACTGGATTGATTAGTGTAACGATATAATATATATCTCATACCGTAAAAAATTGAGGTTAATTCATTTTGTTTAAATCACCAATGTTGAATTTGTTTACAAATGCATTTTATCGAAAACCTTTTTCAGAAAGTTGCAAGACAAATTTAATAAAATATCGATTGTATAGCGTAAAAAATATAAATTTTTCAGAAATGGAGCTAGAAATTTCACAGAGTAATGAAAGACCAACGGTAATTGTAGAACAAAGTGCCCATGTGTTGAATGAAGTAAATGTTTTTTGCAATCCAGTTCAAGAATTCAACCGTGATATGAGTGTAGCAGTTTTAAATGTTTTTGTTAAGAAACTATGGGAGAAAACGCAAGCATGTGCCACAAATGATTCAGACAAGAATTTTGTTAGAGGAGTCAAATGTGAAAACGGTATTAGAATTTTAGAAGCGTTGAGCGCAACTGGTTTAAGGGGGATTCGTTATGCAAAGGAGGTGCCAAATATAAAAGAAATTATAGCTAACGATATAAGCAAAAGTGCTGTAAGAAAAAAGCAACTAATAATTATAAATGATTTTCGATGTATATTTTTTTAGGTTGCATCTATAACTAAAAACGTTTTTTATAATAAAGTTGAGCATTTAGTAAACCCTACACATTCAGATGCAATGACATTAATGTATTTAGCAGCTACAAAACCAGAGGAGAAGTTTGATGTTATTGACCTAGATCCATATGGATGTCCAACTCAATTTTTAGATGGTGCGATACAAAGTATCAATAATGGTGGATTACTTCTTGTAACTGCAACTGACATGGCAGTACTCGCTGGCTCTAGCCCTGACACATGTTTTGTTAAATATAGTGGCAGTATATCCTTGCGAAACAAAGCTTGTCATGAAATGGCTCTTAGAATTTTACTACGATCGATTGAAACTCATGCTAATCGTTATGGGAAATACATCCATCCACTTTTGAGTATTTCAGGTAAAGTACTAATCATTTTGTATTTTTTCTTCTAGCGATGGATCTCAGATTTATTTCCTTAAAACATTGATTTTTTTAAAGTTAAACTTTAGTATATTATATAATTTTCTTTTTTTGAACTTTACCTATATGAATTATCAAAATTTAATTTTAGCTGATTTTTATATTCGTGTATTTGTTCGTGTATTTACTGGACAACTTCAATGTAAACAGAGTATTTGTAAGCAAGCTATGATATATCAATGTACTGGATGTGAAACTTTTACGCTTCAACCTTTAGGAATTAGGAAACCAAATCCTAATGAACAAAATGCCCTTGCAACAAAGTTTGCGCTACCTACAGGACCTTCAATTAATAAAAATTGTGAACACTGCTCACATAAACATCATTTAGGCGGGCCTATATGGTCTGCTCCAATACATCATAAACGTTTTGTAGAAGATTTATTAGAAATGATTGCAACAGAGCCCTTATCAAACTTAGGAACACATAAAAGATTAACTGGCATGCTAAGCGTTATATGTGAAGAGTTACCTGATATTCCGTTATATTATTCAGTCGACAAAATGTGTTGCGTATTAAAAATGGAAATAGTACCGATGTTGAAATTTAGATCAGCTTTGCTTCATGCTGGATATCAAGTTTCTTATTCTCACGCTTACAAAAATTCTATTAAAACCAATGCACCACCAGCTGTTTTATGGGATATATTACGTTGTTGGAATAAAATTCATCCAGTGAAAGAAAAGAGGTTAGTAGAAGGAAGTCCTACAGCGAATATATTATCGAAAGAACCAGAAGTAGACTATAATTTAAATGATATTCATCCACTCGCCAACCCAGAAAGTAGGAAAAAGGCTTTAGCCCGATTCCCTGAAAATCCAACATCACACTGGGGTCCTGGAACACGTGCAACAGTAATGATTGGTCAAAATAAAATGCAAAAGAGCTATAAGAACCAAAATAAAAGAAGAAAAATGAACGAAGATGTCATGGATTGCTCCATAAAAGATAATGAAAACTAGTTATTTAATTAAATATATACATATAACGTTTATTTATATATGTAGATATTGTATATTTTAACTTTTTTTTTCATCAAAAAATAATAAGTATCATGAACAATATTTTCCTTTGTTTTTATGTATTTATATTGTGCAATTTAAAAGTAAAATATATTTTTTATTAATGTTACTTAATCAGTTTAAAGAAAAAAACTATAAATTTGCTACGAAACTCATTAAAAAATCATTTTGACTATTGCGAAATATTTCTGGAAATAATTCTGAATTGTTTGTTAAAATATTTACGAATTTACAAAATAAACTAAATGATATATCCAAACAATGGACATTGATATCGTTTAACCAAAATCGTAATAGAGCCTGATTTTCATTATTTTCTATTTTAAAAAATAATTTATAACTCTGACCTGGTATCATTCTGTTGATAAAATTTTCATCTTTCTTATAAATATTTAAATTTTTTTCAATAATGTTAAGCATTAAAAATTGTTTTTTATCAGCTAATTTTGCTAGTAATACAATTTTTGTAAATTGAAAATATTGATTTCTATTATTAAAATCAGATAACTCATAATCTTTTAAAATACTTTCTATGATTTGGTAACATATTTGTGAATCGTTTGTTATATTAAATAAAGTAGACGTAGTATTATTTGAACAATTTACTAACTTAATGCTATCATTCCATAATTTAACAGCTTTATAATTTAATATAATATCTCCTATTTGATATAAGCAGCGTTTGCAACGAACTTCATTAGCCTTTGTTTCTTTAATATTACAAAAATTCTTTAAATTTATTATAATAAAAAACAATCCGTAAAATAGATCATTTTGATTTGGAACCATTTTCTCATTTAATTGTACAACGTCAGGTCCATTATGACAAAAAAATTCATTAACATTTTGGTAGTTTGATGGAAAACTTAAAATACGTTCAAAGCTAGATACTGGATGTACTACATTTTCACAAGAATTACAAACTAATTTGTATTTGCAACCTGGCTCGATGAGTAATTTTAGATTCTTTTTTGCGGTTTTGTTTTGTTGAGTATCATCATTTTGGATCGATTTTGCTTCTTGAATATTCTTTAATGATATTCGAAAACTCAATTGACTATTGCTTATAATTAAATTACTTAAGGACTCAGCGTTCAATTCTATGTCATCCAATATTAAAGTAAATATAATTTCCACATCATTTTTTATTAATACACAATTTTTATCCAAAGATATTTTGAATGTTTTTTTTAGTGAGCTAATGTCTGCATCGAATTTTAAAAATATATTTGCACAGTATATATTTTCCCGTACTTCAACAAGTGCTGCCTGTAATATCATAATTTTTATTTCACTTTAGTTCCTTTGTTGTTTATGGCTTCAACTATTTCCAAACTTTAATATGTTAAAAACATTATTTCATACAAAATTGAGATTTAAGATTGCTCTAACAAAAGTCCGTTTTCTCTAATCAAAAACTCACATATTTTAAATGAGATAAAAATTTTGTACAGGTATTAAAAATATTAAAATAAAATTTAATTTTCCAAAAGTAATTTTTAAAAACAAAATCAAAGAGCCTTTCAACAAAAAACACAAACTGTCAATTAAGAAAAAAAATGACAATTTCCATAGTGAAAGCAGCACCACTGTTTTAAAAAAAAAGCTACAAATTTTCAAGCAAGCGCTGTAAAGTTGTGAGAAATTTCAAATTTTGACAAGATTTTTTGACATGAAAGAAAATTTTGGGAAATTCATTAATTCTCTTTAATTTCGGGCGTTTTCACTTAATTACAGCGTTTTTTATGCATTCATATTTCATAATATGTATTCCGAAAGTATAATGTATGTATATGTTTTTTTATTATATCTTGCTATAATTTTCTTGGAATAAACGAAAATAGCCTTCTTGTTTTTTTCTGTTCTCATTTCGAGCAAAAAATTCAGTTCATACTATTTTCACATGTTTTTACTTGACAACCCAGTAGTAAATTATTTTTCTATTTGTTTTTATTTCTAGATTTGACAGTTTTGTTATGTCAAATAAAAGAAAACATTAAAAAAGTAGTCGCAACAAAAGTTAAGAGTACAAACAAACAGTGGTAAATTAATTTTTATATCTCCCATGGATGAATTGAATTCATTTTTAAAGAAAGAGTTAAAATTAAAATGCGGAGAAATATATTTGAATAAAAAAGAAAGTAATAAAATAATTTTAACGTGCATTATTTGCGAACTGCAATTTGAATCTTTAGAACATTTTTCAACACATATTGTAAACGAGCACTTTACTTGTGATTTTGAGGCTCAATTTTCAAATTCATCAAATGATTCCGAAAATATAAACAATTTAAAATGCAAATGTTTTCTAAATGAAAGATCACGCGATAATAAAGTAAATAACTGTAGAGCGTTTTTGAAGACGGAATATGAAATTTCGGCCGAAGAAAAATTTATAGACAAACAAAATTTCGAATTGGACTTAAAAGAAGATTCGAATAAAACAAAAAAAGTTCGTTATAAAAAAGGATTCGGAAAAGTTTTGGAAAAAAGTCTAAAAAAGAGCTTTAAATGTCCAATATGCCCGGAATATTTTGAAATAGAAGATAAAATAGAACATATGAAAAAACATGAACATTTCAAAAGGTTTATTTGTGAATTATGCGGAAAAGGGTATATGCTTATTCTAATATAAACTGAACATATTTTATTTAATTAGATCTTAGGTTTCAGAAAAATTATGAATTGGTCCGACACATGAATACTCATGGTGGAGAAAGATCATTTAAATGTGAACTTTGTTCAGCTACATTTTATAGCAAAATAATTCTCACGCGCCATGAAATGACTCACCTTAACTATAAGCCATTTAAGTGCAACGTTTGCCAAGCATTATTCAAATTGAAAAGATCACTTCAATTACACGAAGCAAAACATAAATTTTCTATTTCAAAAGATGCAGGCTTCGAATGTGATGTTTGCCAAAAAAAATTCAGTTCAAACATAAATTTAACAGCACACCGCAGCAGACATAAAGCAGAAAAAAAGCAATTTGAATGCTCCAAATGCCCTAGAAGTTTCACTTTAAAATATGACTGCACTTCCCATGAGCGTTTAGAACATAAGGGGGAGTATAATTACAAATGTAGATTCTGTGATAAAACTTTTATTAAATGTTCAAAAAAAAATTATCACGAGGAATCACACACACGGGTGGGTCAACCATTCTCTTGTGATTTATGTCCAAATAAGTATGCAACGAAGCAAGGTCTTTACAAGCATAAGAAAAGAAATCACATTTCAAACAAACCTTCTCCGGATTTAAAGTGTCATAAGTGTGATAAAACATTTAAATTTCAAAATGAGTATTCTGAGCATTGTAGGAAACACGTTTTAGAAAAATACCAATTTGTTTGTTTTGATTGTGGGGCAAATTTTGTAAACGAAATAAATTTGAAAAATCATATGAATGTTGTTCACAGTACTTTAAATAAAATATAGTCAAATATGTATAGGTAATGTGTATTTTTAATTTCTATATTTAAAAAAAAAAAATTAATAAAAATTTGTATATTACTGGTTTCTCCAAATTTTGGTGTTAATATTAAAATAACAGTTTCACATAGTTTTTAGGACATACATACAATTTACACCATAGATATTTGTGTTCAGCTAATATTTCCATACAAATTATAGATGCAACCTCTGAATAAGTTAATTCTGAAACTCAGTGAAATACAGAAAAGTCGCAAAAACATAAATTTGTTGAAGCCAAACTCGTTTCTTAGAGCTGTTTTTTATTTACAAAACTTTTCAATTTTCTTTTTCTTATAAATAAATAATGCTTAACTTTACTTAAAAAAAATACTTAGTTGTTCATAATATGAAAAACTGAAATTATTCACTAATTTTCCGAACTTTACTTACAATAGACATTCATAATTTTCGTCAAAATTACATGGTCTTGTGTCCTATTATATGATTTTTCTTTTTTTTAAACAATCACCAAATTTGCAAAGTTTCTGCTGCATCGAGTTTAAAGAAAATTGAACAGTACCATAAAATATTTTTTTATGAAAAACGCCAAAACAACTACAGCGCTAGATTTATATAAGTTTAAATTTGTAATTGATGAGTAAACATTTGAACATGAAAATACATAATAAAATTTCACTACAAAATAATGAAAATTGGAATCTAACTCAGTGGTGTTATCCCTCCAAACTAAAATCGGCAGCAAAAATATTTTAGAAAAATTTCCCAAAATCACTGCTTTTATTAAGTAAGAAAGAAAATTGCTTTTTCTCTTGCTTGATGCACGTATAATTTTAGATAAACCTGCTAGAATTATGAACAAAACTACACTGTCGATCAAGTTTTCCAAACAACACATATAAAATCCTTTTTCTTGAAAAAAATCTTCTGGCACATTTAATTCTCCAACCTGAAGGGATTTCGTCGCAAATTTTTCCAGTTTTTGCCGCCAAAGGGCAAATGATTCTAGTAAAAGCAATATAAGATACAGCTTCCAATGCATTTTAAACTCCGCATTATAAATTATGTGTCGATATGCTTTATTAGATAGCAAAATTACATCCACTAGAGCAATCAAATGATGAAATTCTATATACTTATCAACGATCTCATGGCATTTATCACACTTTGCTAGTTTGGTGAGATTAGGATACTTTTGATATAAATGATGTACCGGATTTTTACAATTTATACAAGCATATTGTTGGCTCATTTTACTGAAATGTATCTTAACTTCAATCCAAATACCAATTTAATTGATCTCCATTACCAAATTATACTTTAACACATTTATATTATTGCGAAAAATGGTTCTAAAAAAAGAGAACTATGTTTAATTTGTAATTATTAATACATAAAAATAAATAATAGCTACAAGATTATGTACAATTCGAATTTGAAATATTCTCTGCAATAACAAATATGTATACTTAAATGCACAACATGTACATACATATTTGTGTTTACAAAGTAAACATATCAAATACATATTATATTCATTCTTCTTTCAAAAAGCCGTGTTCACATCGTTGCTTCTTTTGAAGTAAAATTACTATCCTTGCGCTGATTTGGAAATTGCAAAAGAATATGGGAAAATAATAGTTCCGAATTTGAACTAATTCTCTCCCTACATAATAAAAATTCTGCGGAATAAAGTATGGGTACCTCAGTTAAATTTTAATTCCTGATAATCAGCTGATCTTTCATTTCGTTTTTTATGTATGTATGTAGCTGAGAATACACTTATGAATGTTTACTTAGAAATTATCTTTTGGGTCTATATGAATTATCTTATCTTATGGTTTTACATAAAAAATTTAATATTACTTTTTGTATTCATATGGAATTTTTTATTAATATAGCTAAATTTCTTGTTGGCTATATAAAAACCAAAATAAAAATTGTACACACCTCCTACCCCTTCCAAATTAACGCTTATTACATATTTTTCAACAATTTTCCTTTTGTATGTACGTACCTACATTGCAAGATATTCTTAAATTTTCATAAAAGGAGAGATGAAACTTGAATATTGTCTTCTTTTCAAAAAATATAATTGACCTTAAATAGCAGTCTAATTTGGCCTTAGTCTCTATTAGCGGTTATATCACAAGAAAGTAGATATAAAGGAAATTTTTGTTTCTTTTAATAAACAATTTTTTCATTGTTATCTTCTAAAATGTTCCAGCTAAATAAGATATCCAAAAGTAAAGTTTTGGTCTTGATGAAAGAGATTTTTGATTCAAAAAGCTTATTGCACAAATATACTTTCGCGTCTAAGTATCTATACTACAAGTAAATGGATCTTGCCATTAAGTCAAATCTATTTGGAAAACAAAGTACTTAATATCAATTATTTTACTATATTACTTCTAACATTGTGTATTACATTTATATGATTATTTAAATTAATTTCGTTGACAAAATTAGACCCACAAACAGAACATATAAATTGATGTTCTTCTAAAGCATGTTTCCTACAGTGTTCAATGTATTCACTTTGTAATTTAAAAACTTTTTCGCATTTGTGACACTTGAAATCAGGTAGTGGTTTATCCATTACATGATCCCTTTTTTTATGCTTATAAAGACCTTCACGTGTAGCATACTTTTTCGGACATAAGTTACAAGGAAATGGTTGCCCAACTCGGGTATGTGTGTATTCATGAGATTTTTTCATAGCATTTTTTATAAAAAGCTTATCACAGTAACTGCATTTATAATTGTATTCACCTTTATGCTCCAAACGCTCATGAGCAGAGCAGGCATATTTAGTTTGAAAACTTTTCGGACATTTAGGACATTGAAACGGCTTTTTCTCTTCCTTATGTCTTCCACGGTGTTCCATCATTTTAGTCTGAGTGTTAAACTTTTTTCCGCAAAGATCACATTCAATATTAGCTTCAGTAGGAGCCTGATGTCTTAACTCGTGTTGTTGAGCAGTTCGCTTGGATTTAAATAACATATCACAAATACTACATTTAAAAGGTTTATAATCTAAGTGAGTTCTTTCATGTCCTTTAAGAGTGTGTTTGCATTTAAAAGTGGCCAAACAGATCTGACATTTGTAGGGTCTTTCACCTGTGTGAGTTTTCATATGTTGTCCCAATTGGTACTTATTTTTGACCCTAAAAAAATGAAATTTCATGCATATATTAATAACTTAAAACAATTTGAAACATTTTAAATATTTAGATACCCTTTTCCACATGTCTCACATATAAATCTTGAAGAATGTTGATGGATTTTCACGTGCTCTACCTTTTCTTCCAATTTCAAAACTTCAGAACAAATAACACATTTAAAATATCCTTCTGGAATCTTTTTTCTTCCCGATTTTTTATTATCCAGTTGTTTATTTTTAGCTTTTTTCTGTCTGTAAGAAATTTTTTTGTCCAGGTTAAAAGAGCTTTTCTTTTTAATAAGTCTTTTAGCTTGATTTTTTTTAGTTTCAGAGCAAGCATATTCATTTGATACTAATTTTTCAGGTTGAAATTCGAATTTTTCGGAACAATTTGTTAAAATTTCTTTAATATCTAAAGTATGTGTACTACTAGTTCTTTTTTCCTCATGTGAAGCTTTTTTTTCAGGGATCGATGTTTCTTGTTTCATTTCATCAGTACATTGTTTTTCAGTTTTCGAACAACCATCGTACTCATCCAGGGTGTAATTTTCAGTTTCCAAAATGTTATCATCAGAATAATCTGTTAAAGAGTCTTTTACGTTCACATTTCTTCTTGAGGTACTTAATTCACAAATTTCAGATTTTACAAAGTGTTGGCTAAAATAATGTTTTGAAAAACACTCTAAAGACAAATAATGTACATCGCAGTTTGTGCAGGATAGAACCATTTCATTCTCATTTTTATTAATATAAATTTCACCACATTTTAATTTCCATTCGTCTTTTGAATTTGAGCTACAATTATTAAAATAAACGTTATTCATTTTTTGTTTAATTTTTTATTTTATAGAATTTTTTTAAGCCCCTGTATTCTTTGAATTATGTTTAGCTTTCTGTCAAATCTTGTGTTTACGGATACTGGAATTGCCGTCTATGGTTTGTTTTTCACAGAATATTGCAGAAAACCGTAATGCAAAATTAAAGTTTGCTGAATTTTTCTGCTTTGTCAAGTTTGTATTCAAAATATTTAGAAAACGTTTTTTTTTAACTTTGGTTTGGAATAATATGAATCTAAATTGAACTTTTTTTAAAGGTACCAAAACAACATATTTAAAGTTTTAGTGCGAATTAAATTATAATTATTCTATAACAAAAAGGATGTTTCGACTTTCATTAACGAAGCAATAAATATGCAAAAGAGAAAATTATATGACTTAAATACATACAATCAAGCGGTTTTTTCAGCTTAAGTGCTGATGCCGATATTAAAATTTATATACATAAATCCTAAATTAAGTACATAAATAAAAATATTTTACATACTCATTATAAACGGGCTCTCACATTACTGCGGCAGTGCGACAGCGGTAGTCGCCAAAATGTCAAAATATTACTAAATCCACTGTGATATAAATTTCTGCGACATACGAAACCGATTGTCACACTACTTTGAAAAATTGATCTGCAGCATCCGATTGTTCGCTGCAACATGCGATGACAATCGAATGACAGACCTCATTTATAGTTTGGAAATAAAAATTGCAAGTAAAACGGTTATTATGTTATAATTTCAAAAAAAAAATAATACAAATACAAAAAGGAAAAGAAATTGAAAAATGAGTATAACTAGCAAAAATTTTTTGGAATTGGTTTTGATTATATTACTGTCAGTAATCTGCGATATTTCGAATGATTCTCGCGTCGCAGTGCCGCAGCAATGTAAACAGAGCAAAAATTTCAAGATTGCCGCTTTTATTTTTTTTCCACCCAATTAATCGGTTTTTTTTTTATGAGTTATAAATGACGAATACTAATTTCTTTATATTTTTGGCATACCCTTTTTACTCTTGCGAAATTTTAGTTAAAGTGCATCAACGATTTTCATAAATACATAATGGGGAAAATGCAAAACTTCAATTTTACAAAAGCAGTAAACACGTAGATAGCAATTAAAGTAAAGGTGTATTGAGTTTAAATTGACATATTATGTTTATTTTTCTACAGACGAGATTGACATTTTAACTGTCATTTGTCATAAAAGATTTTCTTACTGAACTTTACAAAATTTTACAAATATGAAATAAAAAAAAAATTGATTTTAAAAGTGGTTTGATTTCATTTAACAACGATTTATATATGTATAGTGTGAAATTACTAATTTGTAGTGAAATGCGAAAATAGTTTTTACTATCAATATCTTAAATAACAATGAACATTTGTACGTACTTATGTGTATCCATAAAATTTATACTTATAATATGTTTATAAAAGAGTTTTACAAATTAATAAATTTTAATTAATCTACAAATTTCGATGTGTAATAAATAAAAGGTAATATTTATTTATAAATAAAAGGCATTATTTATATATTGTTACAAATTTTCTTAATAAATAAAATGTTAAATTAAATTTAAGCTGAAAATTGTATTGCAAATCCAAAATAGTCAGGTACCTATCCACTTAATTAACACCGAGTTGAAAAAAAACCCCAAATACATAGTTAATATATTCAAACATAGCTACATATTATATAAATAATATATAATTATGTAGATATACAATAGTGTGTATGACGTATATTACAAGTGTTGAAGGGAATTTGAGGGGGCTAAAAACGATTCAAGCAAGCAGATTGTAAATTATGCATATACCACTGCAGAATTTCATATTCATTCAATTTTGGTATTGACGTCATTCTTTATTTTTTTTTTTATTTTGAACACATTTATAACTCATAGCGTTGTATAGGTATAATATAAACAGAAACTTCAAACTAAGTTTTTGGCAAAACAATATTAATATAAGCAAATGAAAACATGCATGAGTAGTAGGTATAACCTACTTACAATGTGACATATTTATCTAATTGGAATTGGTAACATAAAAAAATTGAAAATGTTTTTTACATTTCGGTTCATCTTAAAATTTTGGAAACAATGTGCAACAGGTGATATCAATTTGCTTTGTTTTGAATATTTTGCCAATTTGTTTTAAATATACGTAGGTGTAGGTATGTATAGCTATTTACCCACTAACAGTCTTTTTTTAATTTTATTGTGAATAATATTTACATAAATAAAGTAAATTTTTCTTTTGTTTTGAATCTTTAAAGCTTGTTATCAATGTAAAAAAGTGAAAGGAAACATTTTTTTATACCAAAATCTTACAGTCTGATTGTGTATTTCGCTTTTTTATCCGGCAAGTGAGAAGAAAATGAGTGCATAATAAATATAACAAATTTTTAAAGTTATAAATTTAATTTTAGAGTGGGAAGAACTTTTCATATTTCGTGGGAGGAAATGCATAGGTACCTATCTCATCTTATTGAAAGAATTACATACTCAAATAAAAAAAAAAATTAGAATTCGCATTTCAATGAGACTAAAATGCGAGACAAAAAAGCGAGATACACAATTGGGCTTCTTAAAAATTAGCTTTCTACCTAACCACCCCTTTTGTTTTTGTTACTTTTTCTTGAACTTTTTAATCTACAATAAATTATCGTTTATATTAATTAGAACAAAATTATATTTTCATTTATTTTATTTTTAAATATTATTTGTGTTTCTATTAAGGTTCAGTCACTCTATGTTTACACTTTTCTAATTCTTCGTCGTATTATAATGTGTTTATATTAGGAGATTAGAAAAATGCATAGGATTTTTCTATACATAATCTCCTAATATAAACACACAATAAATATGTGTGTTTATATTAGGAGATTAGAAAAATGCATAGGAACATGAAAAATGTATAAGTACAAATGTGATTTAAAAAAATCATTTCAAATTCATGAGATAATTTTGAAAATAAAAAATCTTAACTTGTTTCAATACGAGCGAATGAATTCTTTACATGAATTTTTTAATACCTTTTTATAATATTTCCCTAGGTATACCTAGGTACATTTACGTAGGAAGATATCTACATCAATACTATATTTACATATCAAGATATAATAACACATTCATTTCATTTTTTTTTAAATAAATTATAATAATTACATACAAGTCGTAAGACATGATAAAGCAAACAAAATATGAAAAAAGCTTTGATTTTTTAATTTTTTATCAAAATTTATTTATTTTCATTTTCAGTTATATTGACACATTAAAGGAGGAAGGTGCAAGAAAAAAAAAATATTTAATTTAACAACAATTTCATGTGAAAATTCATAAGGAAATATTGGCTCAAAAAAATTAAGGACAAAAAAAGAAATAGAAATAAAAATAAAATAAATTTAATTTTTGAACCAGAATTTAAAAAAAAATAAGAGAAGTGACCTAAAAAATTTGAATTAAATATTAATTTTTGAAATGAAGTATAAAAAAAATCAACAACTAGAAGAGAATATTAATGTATATCAAAATATATTAAATGTTTGTTCAGCTGTAATTGAAATAAATGTTGTTAAATGATATAGTCAAAATAGTAAGGACTCCTGTTACAATTTTTTAACGTGAGCGGGCTCATATAATATTTGTAAAATAAAAAATACATAATTAATTTAAGGAAATTTTTTTTCAACATACACCTACAATAATAAATCAATTTAAATACTTTTTAATTTTATTCAGTTTAAGAAGGAAATCATACAGTAATTTTATTGAAACTCAAATATCAAAATATTTAAACTGTGTGTTAAAATATTGCAATATCGAATACAAAAATTTATAAAACGCAAAATTAATCAAAAATAATAGCACATAAAAATTTTAAATTTATCGTGTAATATAAGATTTTTTTTTGGAAAATTATTCTTATGTATCTAACAATAAGTAAATATAATAACAAGTAAATATCAATAGTTTTAAAAGAATAAAGTATGGAAGTTCCTACTATATATGATATAATAAATTCAACAATTGTTCCAACAACAGAATCAAATGATGATGATGATGGAAATCCTCCAATTTCAATGGATAAATTTTATCCAGCTTTAGTTCAATGCTTTGGAATTATATTATGTGGGTAAGTAAATTTTCCAATTATTATTTACATAATTTTTTTTCAGAAGAATTTTTAAATTGCATGAAATTTAGATATATGCAATCACTTATACTCTGTTAGTCGCATTATTTGAAGTGATTAGGTATTATTGTAAAGAATTTTGGAATTTATTTTATTCAGAAAATTACAAGATTTTTTAATAACAATCCATGCGTTAAATGATGCGACTAACAGAATGTGTAGGTCTATAATTATTTAATATAATATAAAATTATTAATTCATTGTTGCATGTTGTTACAAAACATTAAGTACTTTGTTTACATGCTTAAGTGTAATAGGACATACTTAATTGAAAATTTGAAGGGAATAGTAAGTAGCTTAAGTAGTAATTAATTCTATGTATTTATTTAAATGGATATTAAAAAATCTATGTATTAAAAAATTTGCGAATTAAAATTCAATGCTTTAAATACTTTTAATGGCAGCATCAGTATGCCTTCATATTATCAGAATTGTCTTTATTCGGCAATTTAATATTTTAATTTAGGGGTAAGACATGAAAAAATGTAATACTATTTGTAAAATTTAGAAGCTTTTTTAAAACTAGATACACATAAGTTCGATGTTTTTTAATTTAAAATCCAATTTTATTTTCCATTTTGTTAGGAAACATAGCATTTAAATATTAAAAATTTAACTAGTTTGGTTAAACTAGGTTTTTCATTAAATTTTTTTAATATGTGACGTTTTCAGGGATTCATTACGACGTCAATAATAGTTTTTGATGTAAGACATGCTACGCTTTTACAAAATTTGCTTTTTTTTTTTAAGAATTAATAAATTTTAAATGCTATTAAATGTGTGTAAGTTCGATAGAAAAGAAATTTGAAACATAAGAAAAGAAAGATTTTAAATTTAATTCTTAAAGATTACTCACACTTTAAATTAATTTTTCCAATTTTCACAGAAAATCGTCACATTTTCAATTTATTCAGTAGGTACCTAATATTGTTAATATTTATTATCTAATAAATATTCAATTGATTGGTATCTTCTATTTATAATTTATTGTTGGTTAATAAAAAAAAAAATAAAAATATATCATTAAAATAACAACAATTGTTATTAAATAATTTATTTTTTCTTATTAAATAACATGAAAACTATATAAATCTTAATAAAAAAATTGATTAATCTAATAGTGATCAATCACAAATATTTTATTATTAAAACAAGTAATTTATGTACATTTTTGATTAATTATTTTTGTTTTTTAATTATAGGGAGATATTCTTTTATAATGATACTTATTGTTTGATTTTTAATAATTTTAATAATATGTTATACATACTTGTATTTAACTTCATTACTGTTATACTACAAATCTCTATGTATCGCACTTGTTTGTTAATATTTCAGAGTTTGGGGCTATCAACTTTAAATTATATCATATTACATATGTTTACATAGATGTAAAACAATTTTAACGATTTATTTACAATTGATCCTTTATTGATTTTATATTGATTTATTGTTATAGGGTTTAATATTTTAATAAATAATTTATTCAATTTAAATGTTTATTTAAACTAGCTATTAAATTCATTAAATAGTATTTAATTAGTAACCTTTTATGTAAATATACGTTTATATTATTTATTTATTCATATTATTATTAATATTGAAATTTAAAATTGAAAACGGAAATATTTTGGGGTTTTCCGTAAATAGAGAATCAATCCTTCAAACAGGGCAATTAGTGTTGTGTCCTTAAGTTGATCAAATTTTTAAAAGATCACCCTAATCAATAACAATTTTTATTATTAATTTTTTATTTTAAAATTAAATTTTGTATTACTCGTTTATGAATAAATTAAAGATTGAAGGATACCTCAAGAGATTAAAATTTTTTTTGAATTTCTGTATCGCAAAAGTTCTTTTTTACATAAAATTAACTTTGTTTTTTGATCTCATATACTTTTAACTGATATTAAAGAACTTCCAATTTTTATTATTTCATCCCGAGTTTTGTTACTATATTAAAAGTAAATTGAAGATTAACGAAAAAATTTTTGATAAATCACATGTGATTTACTAGATTTGATATAAATTGTGATAATTAAATTATGAAGTCTTATCAGCTATGAAATACGTGACTTTGACACGCTTTCAGATATTTAAAGATAATATACATTAATAATAATTTCAACCAACTTATTTTAATAAAATTATTTACTTATTTAATTTGAAAGTATGTATTTTATGTTTGATAAGAATATACTTGTATTGTACCTGATAGAAAGTGATTGTGAATAATTATTGGGAAGATATTTTGGTAAACAAAATAAAGAGAGATTTTTATATAAAAAATAAACTTAATAATAATTGCCATATAATACTCGTATAAGTAGGGTTCTTAACCCTGTTTATTTTTATATTGTTTTCCTAAAAATGGATTTATTTAATTAAATTTTGTTTTAGGAATTTTATAATATCCGAAAATTTTTTAAATGTAATTGATGACAACAGTAATAATGATGACATTAATTATTGGGCGACCAATTTTTTGGAGCCAAAGTTTAACGATGGGAAAAAATCTAAATCGGCTTTATGGTTAAATTTAAAGCATCAAAAATAATTTGTTTCTAAAGCAATATTGTCAACCGGTTCAATACAAAATTCGTGTAAGAAAGTTGACATGCAAAAGTTTTTAGCTTAATTTTAATTGCCGGTTCATGACGTCATGATAAAATTGTTGTTGGCTAGCATTTGACGTTATCGATTACACCTATAGTAAATTATTGGTTTTTTTAAATAAGAAAATCATATAACATTTTTTTTTTCGTTATTTTAAGGAATAACAAAATATTAAAATTTGAATTTTAGCAATAAATTTTAAGATTATAAATATACAAAAATAATTCATATTGAATATCTTCAAGTATCTAATTGATTATATTGAAAATTTTTTTAATTAATTTAATAGAGAATGTAAAAAGTGTAGGCTGAAATATGAGACGATTATATCAGATAATATAAAATAAAATAAAAATTTTAATGCATAAGTAGGATGAAATAATAATTAATTTTTTTTTATGATAGCCAAAAGGACACAATCATCATAGTTCATAAAAATGTTATTGCAATTTTTTTTATATTTAATCTGATATTTTTGATTTTCGATTATTAATGAATCGATTTTTTTATTTACTTAATCATATTTTTAATAACCAGCATTATTTTTTAGCTTTAATGTCTTCAATATTATAAACGTCAATGATTTTTTTTTTATTTAATTATTATTACCTATACATATAAGTAAGGTAAATGAACGGGTTAACTATGTTAAATATAAAATTATTAAAATGGAAATATTTCATTGAAATAATAAAGAAATCTAATGATAAATCATAAATAAATTGTTTATGATGGTTGAATTAATTCTTCAAGAAAAAAACAAAAAAAAAAATTCGCTATGTTAAAGGTTAATTCAAATAATCGCAACTATAATAATTTGTTAATGAATGCAGAATAAGAAATATTAAATTAGTTATAAAGTATGATAAAATTAAAAATAGTGTCAGTCAGTCATGCGTTCAAAATAAAAAATTTCCTTTTGAATTTTGGTTAATTTTTTATTTCACTCTTATACTTAAGGTTAAAAAAATAGGTGTGACAAGATAAAATGAATTTATACAAAGTTCAGTGAATTTTTGATAGTTTTTTTTTTTTTGTTGACATTAATTTCCGACTGTTATACGTCGAAAAGCTTTAAAATTGTTTTTATTTTCATTTTATTTACTTAGTATTTAAAAAGTTTCATTTTAAAAATTTAAAGTTTTAGTTTACGTTTTATAAACAAAATAAGTACATACTTACATTTTTATTTTTTTTTCTTTTTTCAACGAAATTATATTTATGTCATTTTCGCATTTTAGGAATTTTTTTTTAAATCTTAAATAATCATCGTAAAATATTGCTTTATTTCAATTGTATTTAACCCTGAAAATATTATAGCGGCTTCAAAACTTATTGACGTATATCTTTTATATGATTATAATTTTATTACGGTTTAGATCATCTCTTATAATGTTGTTAAAATTGAGAAAAAAAAATTTTTTTTTTAAAAGGGGAATTTCAATTTAATATGTGTGTCAATCATTTTTTATTGCAAGACACAAAATATTGTCGTAATAAATATTTTTGGAATTTGATCGTAATTAATGCCAGTGCGGCTTGTTGTAAGAAACGCATCATTTCGATTAAGAGAATGATAATGACACTCACATTATAAAAAAGAGATTTAAATCGAAATAATTTTATATATCGTACAAGAATAAGCCATATCGTAAATAAATAATTAATATCGTAAGTATTTTATGGAGCGTAATGATTTTTGCTTACATATATAACTGCATATAAAATGTATACCAAGAAAGTTTGCTATGAGAGCATATTCGCTTTGAAAACTTTTATTTGTCTTCTTTTCTTACGCAAAGAAAATTACATAAAATTTTACTTGCTAGGCTAGACTATTTGGCCTGCCATTGAAATTTAATGCGTTTTTTTTTCATATCTTTTGTACATACTATATCTGTACAGTTTTTTTAGTAGCGGTTATAGATTTTAGTATTTTACGATATATGTATCTCGTTTAACAAACTACTTTATATTATAAATATTACTAGCAAATATTATTAGTGGCCCGTTTAACGGATTAAGCTCTAGTATCTAAATATTATTACAAACAAATAGCTTACACAGATGTGCACAAGAAATGTGTCAAATTAAACTTTAAGGTCAAGGCAAGCTGCCGCTATTTATTAATATAATTTTTTTAACAGAAAAAAAAACAAAGAAGTATTTATTGAATTACTTGTTATGTATTTTATTGTTGGATAAATTTAAGCAAACTGTACTAAATTTTTATTAGTTTATTAAACATCTTTTTTTTTATTCCTGTCTAAGAAGTTATGAGCCAAAGAACAATAAGTATATGGTTTAATAAACTTTCCCTTTGAGTGTGAATACTATATAATTCTTCGTTTTAGCACAAAAAAAAAACTGTATTATCAAAACACATTTTAATTGTTGTTATATTAAAAACGCAATAAGAAATATGAAATTTTAATTAATTTTAGTTGAAAAAAAAAAAACAGAAATCAATTTACATTAAAATAATTTTCTTTCATTTTTTTCTGAAAACTTTCAACTCCTTATAATTTCATAATGTTATTAAATATTTTTTTTATTATATAATTTATATTTGCAATTAAATATTGCATATTGTTAAAAATAAATCATATTTATTAATATAATAATAATAATTCCAACAATATATTAAATTATATTAAAACCTGTCAAAATTGTGAATAGTAATTTTTAATTTACTCACAATTGATCATGCGATGTCAACACACTTTATTCATTTTTTGTTGATTGTTTACATTGTGGTTTTAATATTTTACTTGCAGTATTGAATTTCGGAATAATTTGTGAAAAAAAATGCATTTTATATAATATTAATTAATTATAATTGTAAAATAAAAAAGATTTATCGAGATTATTTCAATCGAATTTTTTCTCGAAAATTTTTCATATAAGTACTTACATTATTTAATTAAAAAATAAAATTAGAATTTTCTTTTCACATTAATTAATTAAAAGTTAATAAAGAAAAATTCTTCTAATTAAATATAATGAAATAAGTATGAAAAGAGAACTAATGAAAAATTCTCTGTTTCTATATGCATTTAAATTTTTATGGAAATTTATTTACTGATTACAAATTGTTTTAATTTAAAATTAATTTGTTCGGAATATTATGAAAATTTTTTGAATTTTTTATACGTTCTACCTGAATGCACATAATAAGAAATATAGTGAATTGCATTAGGTATATCTAAAATTATAATGTTCTTAGTAATTTTGTTATAAAATTAATTAATTCTATTTTATTAATATATGTATGTATAAGTATGTAAATAATTTTATGATTTTACTGATATAAATTGTCGTGTGACTGGTTTTTTTTTATGATCAAAATTCTTTTATTCGTTTTATGTGTAAGGTATTGCATACATAGTCTTAACTTTCTATATTTTATATTTAAAATAATAATTATATATTTGTTTTTATGAAATAAATACATAATCTTAATTGTTAAGTAGTTATACATAATTTTTTTTGTTAGAATGAAATGCGCATCAGTTTTACTTGTAAGTATGGTACCTATTGAACAGTAAAACATGAGTGTCATTTGAAGATTTTGAACTTTATTCTGAGAAATCTATCAACAAGATTTTATTCTGCATCTGTCATAATTGCGCTTCATATTCAAATGTAACATTATAATCAAAGTAAGATAGCGTTGAAAACTGACAATATCATAATGAAAATTTAAAATAAAAATTTTCGAAACCAGTTTCAAATCGCTTGATTGTACATATAGCTGCACAATATTCCGAATCAAGTGTTGTAGTAGATGTTCCATATTACAAAATCATTTTTAAAAAATGCAATTTATTTTCATTTATATATGCTTATTTTCTACGATAATTAAAAAAATTTTCTTTTTGAGTTATAAAAATTTAATTTTTTTCTACGAGAAATTGTGAACATGAATTTTATATTGTGTTGTAATTATAATTCATATACGAGTATAAAATTCTTTTGTGACTTTTAAACAATTATAACTATTATATGTGAATTACATGGCTTCATACCAGAATATTTGAATCTGTACGATTCTTACGTAATCTTGATTTTATATTATACCTAATAAGTAAGTAATTAGCTTAATTTCCCTGAGTACATATATATTATATTATGTAAACGGTTTTGTCTTTAAAGAAACTATAAAATTATAATTAGGCAATTATTTTATGGCTAAATTAGTGTATTTTAAAATTAATAATATATATATATATAATAAATAAGTCTAAAATGTGTTTATTTTCGTTCTAAGATAAGAATACTGTTGTTTTAAATTGAAAGTAAAATAATTAGTACTTGAAAGTTATTAAAATTAGCATATTCTTAAAAGTATTTCAATTTGACTAAAATTTTTTATAATTTAAACTTAAAATTTATTTTTCTATATTTATTAATTATTATTTTCTTTTTAATTCTTTTACAGATATTTCGCTGGTCGATTAAAAATAATTTCAAATCATGAAACAAAAGGATTAAATACATTTGTTGGAACATTTGCATTACCATCACTTATATTTTTATCTTTAGTTGAATTAAATTGGAAGACTGTTAATTGGACATTTTTATTATCGATTTTAATATCGAAAACAATTGTATTTTTAATTGTTATATTCGTTTCATTATTGATTGCTAGACCAGTCAATTATGGTAGAGCTGGATTATTGGCAATATTTTGTACACAGAGTAATGATTTCGCAATTGGATTTCCAATTGGTAAATGAATTTTATTTTTATTTTCTTTATATTGTATTTAATTGAATTTTATTAAATTATGTAAAACAGAAAGTTTTTATACATAATTTATGTATAGATGATTTTAAAGTATTGTTAATGATAATTTTTCATAATAATAAAGATCATATAATTGATTTTTGTATTTTAGACGTGATACGCAGAGAAATTTCTAAATTTGTAAATTAAATTAGATAATATTGCCGACATTGGCATAAGAATAGTTTATATATTAGAGATATGAAAATTATCATAATAAATAATAGCTTTGGATTTTAAATATTTATTGGCAATAAATGACTGATTTCGAATGCAATTTTCTATCGTTATGAACTAGCTATTGCTTTAACTATTTAATTTTCATGATTTACGTATTATAAAATCCCGCATATAGATTACAGGTTTTTTTGTTATCTAAAACATGAAAATTCCTGTAAGCTATCACGTAACCGTAAACACTGTTAAAAATTCCCGTCTATATACCTAATGTTATTTTAGTAATTAATTTTTTTGGAGCTTCTAATTTTAAAAATTAATTTTAATTTATAATAAAAACTAGCGCAGTTCTCTTTGCTAGATCTCAAACAAACAAAAGTATATTGTTAAAAATTTTGTAAATTTTAATTAATTTTTTATATAACTATTTTTAATTCTATTTCTTTTTTGTAGTTGAAGCTTTATATAGCAAAATACATCCAGAATATTCATCATACATTTATTTATTGGCTCCAATATCTTTAGCTATTTTGAATCCAATCGGTTATATTTTAATGGAAATTCAAAAGAAAATTGATGAAAAAAATGAACAAGAAGTAAGTGAACTTTTCTTTTCATAATTAAATTTTTTGTATTAAAGCAATTTAAATACATATACATATATATTTTCAGAGTTTACCATTATGTCCGAGTGCACAACAAAATAATCAAAATTCAAATAGATTTTTTCGAAATAAGAAAATTTTAATTGTTTTTAAAACAGTTAAATCAATTTTCTTTAATCCAATGCTATTAATGACATTATTGGGTATTATTGGTGGTGTTATATTTCCGGATGGTTTACCTGAAGTTTTTGCTGGTGTCTTACGTGTCCTTGGAAATTCATTTTCAGCTACAGCTTTATTTTTATTAGGTTTAAGAATTGTCGGTCAAGGAAGTTCATTTACTGGAGCAGGATTTTTAACACCAGGAATATTGATTTTAGTTAAATTGTAAGTGTATAACGGTGACAAAATAATTATTTGATTAAAAAAAAACTGTATACGTAGATGATGTTTTAATAGAAGAAATATTTGTAGGCGTTCTTATTTAATTTGTACTTAGTATTCTTCTACTTCAATTTTATAAAACTAAACTTAAATAAAAGTTTTAAAGCATGCATAGTTTTAAAAATTCGCTTTCATTTAACTTTACGCAAGGAATTTATTTAAAAATTGTTTATGTCCTTAGTAAGGAAGTGCACATTAAAAATATCTATGAGCCTAAAAACTACTCCAAACATTATAAAATTACAAAATTTTGTTTATAAAGGAATGTTTTGAAAGGCTTAATTTTCTTTTAAGAGAAAAATATAAAAGTGAAAGTTTGTTTATTAACTTGTTTGAGGTTTTCTTCTCATTTCATTCTCATTTAGTTGAAAAAAATATTAATAAATTTTTATGTATTTATGTAATTATTTATGTATGTGCATCCGAAAAGGTTTTTTTACTAAAATTGAAAACCTAAAAATAAAAATGTTGTTATTTATCTTTTGGTTTTTTTGCTGTTACAATTTAATTTGGATTTTTCTTTTAATTATTTTGAAAAAGTTAGATATTTTTACTTTTTAAGTAGTGAGAGAAGCACTTGTGTTTTGTTTCATAGAATGAATTATAAGGAAAATGAAAATTTTTCGTTTAATCTTTACATAAATATTGAAACATAGAAAATTTTTAAGCTTAAATAAAATCGAAATTTACATTTTATTTACACTATGCGTTAGAAATGAACCATTTTGTTTGGTAACCTTTATCGCTTTTATGTATGAATTTAAAAATATTTATTTGATTTTATAAATAAATTGAAATTGTAATAAAACCGTCGTTCTTAAAAAAAGTGAGTTAACACTATTTATTCAATAGGAACTAAGCTATGTAAAAAAAAAATCTGGGAAATTTAAATTTTTTTAGGCCGAAACTTGTTTAGTTTTTTAATATTAGGCTATTTAGAATAATTATGATTTAACTTACAGAAAATATTACACAATATTCGTTTAAATTTAAATAAAAGTTTTGAAAATATTAATATTAAATTATTTTTTAAGGCTTGTCTTACCTTTAGTGACTCGTCAAACAGTAAATATTATGCAAGCTGGAGGAAATTTTTCAGAAACAACAGAGTTAAGTACATTCGGTTTCCTTTATGGTACATTTCCAGCTGCACCAGGAGCATTTGTAATTGCATCACAATATAATATTGATGTGGATTTGGTAAGTAATTTAAATGTAAAATATGTTCTGTAATTATGTATCTTCTTAATTATTTCTTTTTTATTACCCTTTTTAGATTGCAAGAAGTATGGTTGCATGTACATTTATAAGTGCACCATTAATGTTTATATCAGCTAAAATGATATCATTGACAAATTTAAATCCATCAGATTATATGAATGAATTGGATAGATTTGCATTTGATATCAGTGTAGCTGGTGTTATTGGATGCATTTGGGTCTTATTATTGTTTAGTTTAACTAAAAAATTCCGATTAATGCCACATCGTATAACATGTTGTCTAGTATTTTCACAGGTAAATATCATGTTCATATTTTATATTGCAATCAATTTTGTCGAAGTGGTTTAATATTGTGTTATTAAGCTATTCATGGAAATTTTAACTGCCATAGAACAAAATTAAAATTTTAAGTGAGATAGATTTTTAATTCAGTGGGATTTTCTCTAGGAATTTTTTAATAAAATTTTGTATGAATTTCTATTTGATATTTTATTAATTAATTTTTCATTATATTTATTTTAGCTTTTATGTTGCATAGGTGTTATACTATGGTGTAAATTAGAAAGTGTACCAAAATGGGTGGTTTATATAGAATTTTGTCTTTTTAATATTGGAACATACAGCAGTCGTTTATGGACAGCTCTTTTGGCTATATCTCTATTATTTTTACAATGCCGTAGTTTATGTTTTGTACTTAAAATGTGGCCATACATGGTGAGTATACTATTCTTTTTTAATTTTTTTTTTGTGCTTTGTTCTTATTTTAATTGACAATTAGGTTTTACAAAAAAAAAAATTATCCTTTTCAATGTACATGTACACATGTGACCATACAAACAAATTATTCACGTGAATTTTATTCTATTCAAATATTTTTTGTGTTTCTACAGATTTTATTTGCATGGGGAACTCCAGCTGTGATTTCTGGTATATTAATAGCTTTCGATAATAATTTAACATCCAACACAAAGCGTAATCCAAGTTTTCAATATGGTAATGCACAGGCTGCAATTGCAGTATTTTTACTAGTCATGTGTTTCATTGGTACGTATATAGTTTAATAAAAAAAAACCATTTTGTATAATTTTTAATTATCAATGAATTTGTTGATATTTTAGTATGTTATTCAAATTAAATTTCCTGAATTAATTATTTCTTTATTATGGCTGATCTAGTTACAGCAGGATGTTTAGTTCTTCATCAACGTTATAAAAAACGATTTGAAAAGTACTTAACTTTATCAAGGGAACTTTCAAATCCAGAATCAGGTAATTTTTAACAAGAATGAAATTTATAGTACAAAAGAAATAAATTAATTAAATTGTATTGATTAAATACGAAATAATGATATTATAATGAAAATAAAAACAATACAAAAATCAGATGAATGAAAAATTAAATTGATTTTTTGTTTGAAAATTTTATATGAATGACAATTTATTAATTTTTAAAAAAAAATTAAAATTTATTGTAGTATTTCCTTGAAAATTTATATTGTTCATTTTTCAAAACTCTATCTTTATTATAATTGTTCAAAATTATTAAATTTTTAATATATTATGTATGTACTTCTATACCACATACTTATAAAAGAAAATTTTGAGATAAGTTTATTCTTATTTGAAAATTTATAGTGAGAATATTGTATTGTTAAAAAGTAGGGTTTTTTGGGATAAATTATAACGTAAATTAAATTAATATAGAAAAGTTTCTTTCTAGTTTCATAGTAGGAAAAACCTTAATAAAATATATTTTTTCTGCAAAATTTATTAGATTTAGAATGAAATAGATACACATATTTATGCACATATTTAAATTTTAATTTTCATTATTTTAAGAAGTTCCATGTGCCTTTAAATTTTTTTTAAAATATTTACTTAAAATCAAAATTTCATTAAAATGAACCAAAAATTTTCCACATGTATCATTTGATTTGATTAATCTTTCACTGACTATTGGTTTTTATTACGAGTAGTAAATTTAAAATATTTAAAGAACAATTTTCATTTCTTAAATTTTAAAAATCTTTAATTTGTAATCTTATTTTCTTATACCAACTATTTATATTTGTGTTAAAACAACATTCCGATATATGTATGTATATATGTGCACATTTTTTTTAAATATTTATGCGTGATACAAATATGTATATAATAATATGTATATGAATATATATTTTTTTTATTCTCTTTTTATCTTTAGAGTCCCAAAATATCAGATCTAATTCAACAGCAAACTTAATACAAAATGAAATTACACAAAATGGGGGTATTCGGCAACGTAATACCAATTGTCCTTCATCAGATGATGAAAATGTAACCTCAGAAATATCAGATTGCGGTAATGGTAATGGATGTTGCAGTGGTAGTACAACAACAACTACTGTAGTTGATATTGAAGATTTACTAACAAATAGAGCTACATCAAATAATAAAAATGAATCAAATTCTATTGATGGAAATGATAATAATGGAACAGAGTAAGTTATTTTGTTTTTATCCTTATAGTTTATATTCTTTAAAATATAAATTCAATGTAAAAAATAATAAAAATTTTTTTTTAGTTTGGGTAATCGTAGACCAGCTATGTGTAGTCCATCATTTAGTTGTCCATCAACATCAAGGCAAAATTGTCAAAATCTTGTACAACAGTATGAAGAACAAAAACGTAAAGGTTTAGAACCTTTAGAATATCCAAGTGATATTGATGAACATCAAACTTTAAAACATACAGTTTTGTTGATTCTTTTGTTATGCTCAATGTTTGTGGTAAGCTTTTTATATTTAATTCAATTGTGTTTGTAAATTTATCGCTATTTCATTTTTGATCAATCGCATTTTCTTATTATTTTTATTTTACTGTTATAAAATAGGGTTTGGCTGTTTCTATTTGGACCTTGGTAATGGAAGGAATGTCTGGTATTTATTTGGAACTGAGTTTTTTGGATGCATTTTTAAATTTTGGTCAAGGATTAATTGTATCGGCTGTGTTTATAACGGACGCTAATGAAATTCTTTCACCATTTATTAAATATTGGCGTAAAATATGGTATGGTGCTAATATTGTCTCATTACCGAATTGGTCTGATTTGAGCTCTGAAACAAAACATTTGTGTGAACAATTTCGTAACCATCATTTGGAAAATTGCAAAAAGGATATTGCTAAAGATAAAAGGTATACTCTTTGTATATCTAAATTATTAAAGTTAATTACATATTCTAATGTTAAACTAATTGTGTTATTTTGGTGTTTCTTTAATTCTGTAATTTCTCAAAAGTTTAGTAAAATCTCAACATAAATGTAAAGTTTCAATTTAAAAAAAAAAATATTTCAGAACACTCTGAAAATTTTAAATTAAAACTCGAACTTCTTGAATAACATTAACATAAATAAGGCACAAAACACCAGTACCGTAATACTGGTATTTAAATAGAACTGCTCGATATTTTGAGTCACCAAAAATATAGGAAATTAAAAAAAATGTGATTTTGCTCATTTCTTATTTAATTCTTTCTATATTAACAGAGTTATTTTAGTGTAATAGATTTTATAAAGTTTTTAATGTAATATTGAAATATTTTTTTTTAATTTATATAGTATTAATTTCTTTTTAAAACTTATATATTTGTATTTTAATTAGGTGGCGAATCAAAATTTACCGAAAAGTTTTTTATGGAACAGATTTTGTCGATTGGCTGCTAGAATATGGATTAGGTAGAGATCGTATTGAAGCAACGCATTACGCACGTCATCTCTTAGATGGAAGAGTATTGAGGCATATAAATAATGTACATCATTTTCATGATCAAAATTTATTATATACATTTTGTAATAGAATTTAATAGAAAAACACAACTTTAAAATGCTTCCACATTTTGCATGATTTATATTAAGTAAAGCCAAAAAATCACAATAATTTTAAAATAATATTAACGAAAGGATCAAAGAAGTAAAGAAAAATAAATATTTTTTTTTGTGCTGTGAAAGTTTTCAATAATTTTATTAATACTTTTTTTTTTTTATTTTAAAATATATAATTTTTAAAATTAAATTTTAAAAGAATTAAGATAAAACATAGTAAAATTAAATTATTAGACTTAAAAATAAGAATGATTTATGGTAGCTTGGATTTTGTTTTAAGAGAAGAATATTTTTAAAAAAATATTACCAAAGATTTGAAAAAAATTTTGTGATTTTATTGACAATTTTAGGAAGTTATGAAAGTGTAAAATTTTTCACACAAGTACATTTCTTTACAACAAAATAAAATGGAATAATAAATTTTTGAGACACTTATGTTAACAATTTTAATTTTTACCAACTTTGATAGAGGTTTATTTAAATTTAAATAATATTTGAAAATGGCTATTAAAATATTAAAAATCTATAATTTTGTAGAACAATTTTGTATAACATACTATAAGTATTATAAATATATGGCAAAAAAATATTGTTATTATAAAATTAATTAAGTTGTTAAGGTTGATTCTTTAACAAAATAAATTCTAAATATAGAAAAAAAATTAATAATAAAGAAATGAATTTGTAATCAAAATTGTAATACTCTATGAATTACATTATGCGGTTGCACTTGCATAAATAATTAAATAGAGCAATGGAATTTTGTAATATGTCATCCGTATATGCAACTACGAATTTTATTAATTATTATAAGATCGCTTTAACACAATCAAAACTCTTTAAAATTTTGATAAATAAATTTTGCTCCTAATATTATACATGAATGATTGAAAAACATTTAGAAAATAGGAATCTCATTTTAAAACTTAATTTTCATTGCATTAAGTAATATGTAATACATAGAGTTTAATTATTAATTTAATTTTATAATTTTAGTTTAAAATTAAGAAAATTTTTGTGATTAAATTTGATTCTTTACTAAATAAATTTTAAATTGTAATTTTCACTTTTCTCTTTTATATAATTTAAAATTTTTAGTTTTTATGTAGACATACATAATTATGTTGTATTTTATTTTTTAAGTTAAAAAGAAAATTGTTTATATTTTTTTTTTATTTAATGAGACATTTCAGTCACAAAACATATAATATAATTAATTATTTTAGTAAAAATTTTAATACATACATTGAAACAAAGTAGAATTTATGATTTTTAAAATTTTCATTTGCATTTTACTTTCTCAATCTGTATTGTATTTATGGATGCAAAATGCTGTTAAAAAAAAAAATGAATAGAAATAATTATGATTTAGTTTGTATATCAATAAAATAAAATGTTTGTTTGTTTAAATATTTTACTATACTGTATTTTAATATACAACAACAAACATAAATCATATTTTATAAAATGTGTAAATAGAAAGATTTTTCAAATATAAATAAATATACAAATTACAATGTTATTTATATTGCATAAAAATTTTTTGTGGTTTTCTTTTTTACATTAGTAAATTTATTCATTCAATAAAAAATCAAATATTTTGTATTTTTTGTTGGTTCTACTAGAGCTATGTTAATATGTTTATGTTGGTTAAAGCGCCCAGTTCTCTTTGCGTTTATTTCAAATATTCTTCTTAAAATATAAAAAATGTTTTGAAAGAAATAATATGTTTAAATTTGGCATTAGAAATCAACATTAAAGTGTAAATTTAAAATATAAAAGGCGATCTTTTGAGGCAAAATGTTATGAGTGAGAATTATTACACGGAAATCTATGATAATCGTCTGGAACAGAATTACATTTTTGAAAACTTGAACTTGTATTTATTAATAATTTTTATAAAATATACGGAATAAACTGTTGTTAATAAAATGAACTCAAATGCATCAGTCATTTAATTTTTATGATTGAGTTCTACTGTTGATACATTCTACGCTTATGATCGATCTTTGGTATTTATATTCATTTTCAGATAGAATCTAAATTTACATTGCAATTTTCTAATTATTAATGGCTATTACAATTTATGTAGTTAATGAACTCAAATGTGTAATAAAGAAAAAGGACCTATTCTATTAATTTTAATAGAACAAAATAAAAATTAAATTTTTATTTTTTTGTATTATTCTAGTTAGGTTTGGTTGTAATTCACTTAAATCAGGGATCCTCTATTACAATTTCATACTTATTTGAATTTTTTGTTAAAGAGAAAATCTGATACTTGTAAAATGGTTTATTTAAATTTTGTAAACTTTGAAGATATATATATATGTACAATATAATTTATATATGAACATTATTGTATAAAACAATATTATTCAGTTGAATAGAATAAATTTTTAATAAATCTATTAGACTTTACAATATGAACCATAAATATAAAGATTGTATTTTTGTGGTTTTGACCTTATTTTGAATAGTTTGCAATATATTTTTCAGTATATTTTTGATATATTAGATTTAGTATATATTTTTTAGTATCCAACATCGTCCCTTAAATAAATATGTATACGTAAATATGTATGTATAAATGGTATTTTTTTTATATATTTAAATGTACATATCTATCTAGTGTATCTTTTCATATGTATAATTCAAATTTATGCTTTTTCTTGATTTCATTCAAAAATAACCTTTAAGGATTTGGGATTTATTACTGTATGGTATGCAAACTTTTTCAAATAATAACCAAATTTTTAGTTTTTTTTTTTTTTATTTTATTTTGATCTATGTTTTGAATTTTAAATCTACTAATATACATTCATATGTATGTACGTATTTATTTAAATATTATTTTCTTTGTTCATGTTTCCATTATTATTTTTTCTTTTTGAAATTCTGTAGGCTTAAAGAATTTTAATGAGTTTATATAATTTTAAAATCATAATATATCGAGTGAATTTTTTTAATCTTTTTTGCATTGTTAAATTTTGTACCAAAAACTCTTGAGTAATTAGTGAGTGATGGAAAAAAATTTAATATCTACTGAAAAATTTTTGAAATACATAAATAATATTGGGATTTGTTTAAACAACTTTATTAAATATTCGAAAAAAAAAAATCTTTTTGAGACTTGAAACGTGTCTGTATAAGTTATAGTCAAATTTTGACCAGGATCTATATGCAGGATTTATGCATACATTTTTAAAAAATTTAAATTTTCGTATTTAGAAAATTTATTTTGTTTTATTTTGTTGCTTTATATTTGGTTCATAAAAAATTGAAAATTAAAATACATTGAAAGGAATATTTATGATATTGATAAAAGAAACTGCACTAATATTGACCTGAATACCTTTTCCTAAAAGAACAGCAGGTAACAAATTGAATAAATCTATATTTTTTGAAATATTTATACAAAAGAGTTTTAAATTGAATTATCGTATAGGGTGTATTTCATTGAAATATTTCAGTAATTGAATTTAAAAAATTTGCCTATAAATTTTGAATTTGAAAGTGAATAATTGATATTTGTATTTGAAATTTTAGGTCTTTGTTTAATAAAATAGCTAGATAAACACAATTTAATTTAGTTTATGTAAATTCTTTAAAAAATTCTGAAGACAATTTTTAAATGCATTTTTAATTCAAAAAATTTTATATGATCCCGTTTAGCTTTTTTAAGCGTTTTAACAATCGTCTAGGGCCTAGGCGTACCTAATATTTTTGATTCTTATTTTACCTTTAAAATATAATAAAAATTTACAAAATTACATTTTATTTTAAAACAGCTTGTGTATCAAATTAAAATATATTGTTAAATAATTTTCAGATATGTATGTACTTATATAGTAAGAAATTAAAAATTATTTTTTATTGATCTAAATTAAAAGTAAAAGTTTATTATGGAAATAATAATAGAGTACAGTTTAGAATATAAATTACTATTATTATTATTATCATAATATTATTTATTGCATCATAAAGCAAATGATTCTAAAATAAATAAAATTAATGACGATAATATAATAAAGGTATATATTCATTTATTTAATTCAATTTTAAATTATGAATTCATTTTATGTTCATAGGGGGCAAAATAATAAAATTAAAAAAGCAAAAGGAAAAAAAAATTTTAATGCAATGCTGTGATTCTTAATTAAAGATGAAATAATTTTTCAATTAAAAATTTTATAATTATATGTATGTTTATTATATATATCTACGTGTATATATCGCATTATATATACATATATATATATATATATATTGTGAATGTACATATAGAATATTAAATTGAATTTTTCTTTTTTCGTACTTCTTTTGCATCAGATATAGGTGCGTAATGTTTTGAATGCATTTTGTACATTGAATATTAATTAAATAGAATGCTTAATATAAAATAATTTTAAAAATTTTAATTTTATTAAAAGATACATAAGAACAATTGAATAAATGATATTTAAAAGTGAAATTTAATAAAATTGATAATAGAGAGTGATAGGAATTTTTATATTTAGATGAATAAAGTTTTTTTTTTCTTTAATTTCAAATAAATTTGGTTAAAATTTAATTAAAATTTCCTCTAGGAAATCACGTAGAATGATAGATTTTAAAAATTTTTTATGTTTGGTTTTTTATTTTTGTTAAAATCTTGATCATATTTTGAATAAAATAGATTAAAAACTTTGATATATAAAAATATTTTACAGATTTATTCAAGAAAATCTTTGGAATTTCAAGAATTTAGAATGAATGCGAATGGAACTAAAATTTTCACAACTAGTTTGTATTTGGTTGACAAATTAATATTAATCATATTTAGCAAAATTTGCATACCTCTGTCACTATATTTTTAAGAGCAAATGAATTTAGAGGGAATTGAAATGGAAGTATACTTAGAATAAATTAAAAAATGAAAATTTTGTTGTCATTCTTTTAGATTTTTTATTAAAAATTAAATTAAACGTATATTAATAATATAAATTTTGGCGGTGTTCAAAATTGTATAAAACTACAAATTTTGGAAATTGAAGAATTTTCGAAGTGGTTAGCTTATACCTACTAGTAAGAGAATTTATAAACATATTTAATGTTTTAATTTATTAAGTTTGAGATTTTTCTCATGGCATTCAAATTCAGCAAAAATACATTCTAGAAATATAAGTGGCGCCATAATGTAACTCAAATTTGAATTAATGGTGAAAAAAATTTTAAATTTATTTTAGGTAATTTTGAATTAAAATTTAGTTTCTTAAAAATAAAATTGTAATTTTTTACAATTTCATTCATTATTCTGGAACAATTAGGAATAAATTCGCATAATATTAGATTATAAAAAAATTTAAATTTGAAATAAAATTATTAAATTATTTAATTGGACTTAGACTGTTTATGAAATACATTTCTAAGAAAATAATTTCCAATAATTTTTTTTGCTGTTTTTATCTTTTAATACAATCCTTTATAAATACTTACATATACATAAATAATTATATATTAAATATAGTTAGTTTTCATTTTTCATTGTTAATGGCGTAAAATACAAAAATTTATTTTATTACTTTTATATTTACTTTGGTCACGTTATATATATTATAGCAATACATTTTTAAAGAAGCTTTTCTTAATAATGTTGTTTTTTAAAGGTTTTCTTACCTTTGTTTTTGTATATAAAAAAAAAAATTGAAAATATGGTAACCGGCAAGTCTCCAAAAACAAAAAAGTTCTTAAATCATTCTAATTTATTTGTTTTATTTTGGTAAATATTAATAATTTATTATGCGACTTGGTCAATATTTTTTTGAAAATTATAATTTTTTTTCTATTATAATTATCTATTGTTTATTACCTTTTGATTGGATTGTATAGGAAGACCAATTATTATTTATGTATGGTCTTTTCTTTAGAATTTTGTATTTTAATAATTATAATTAATTGCATATTAAATGGAATTATCATTTACGCCTCAGCTTATTTAAGTTGTTTTAAATTGCGTTTTCTTTAGTATTTAAAGTTTCTTAATTGATTAATATTATTTATAATCTATATACCAAAGAAAAAGTTTTTAAAATTATTTTTTGATCAATTTCATGTAAACCGGCCGGTTTCTTTCTATATATAATAATATTTTCTGTTAATAAATAATAATAATTAAAAATTTTATTAACAAAGTTTTCCCGGCTTATATACAAGCCTATAAATTATATATATGCAGGTATAAATATGTGAACATATTATATATGTATAACAACTATATTATTGCTTTATGTCGATTATAATTTCTGTGTAGAATGAAAATGAAAAAAAAATTTTTGTTCTACTTTTATAAAATAAAAATTAAAAATAAAAAGAGTAAAATATACTTCCTATACCTGTTGACACGTTTAGAAATGATTAATCACATTTTTTGTTTTCAATTTAAGGATATTTTAGCACAATGCCGTACGAGTTTTATAGCATAATATCAAAATGATATGCTATATTTATTTAGATGTTGCTATGACTAATTTATTTTGGCAAAATATCATAATGAGAACGTGTTCCAATTTTCGCAATTTTTTTATTTCTATTTATGTATATATGTATGTTTGTGTCTGTCTTCCAAATTAAATTCACGCAGTTTGGCTTAGAAATTATTATTGTTGATTATTTTAAATTTAATATTGTATTCTAGTTATAAAGACTGTACAATTAGAATTATTTTTACTATTTTTATTCTAAAAGTTTGAATATATGAATTTGTTCATGAAAATTTCATCTTTGATATGAAAATTTTTATTTTTAAATAAAATTCGGAATTTTGCATATTTTTAGGCGTTTTCATGTTCCTGAATCAATTCGGATATGAATTAAAATATTTGAATAAAAAAATTTCCAAATTCAATGATTTTCAAGACTAGAAATTTTTTTTATTCTATATTAGCTTTCATTATTTTCTATTTCGAATAAATTATTTGCTAAATAAAGAATTCCATATGATAAAAAAATTTCAAATAAATATGGTCGGTCAAATCGATTATAAAAATTATTTTGACTTTGTTTTTTCATATTTTTAAATGAAAAAAATTCATACATAATATGTTTGTAATGTAAGTGTAATGTAATTATTATTGCACACATATAGATGATACAAAATGAATGAAGTAAATTTGTGTGAATATGTTTAATTCAGTTGAATGTTTAATATTCTGTGTATAATATATATATATATAATGCACATAAACAAAAATACATAAAAGAATACCATCTCCTTAATTGAAATATAATGCTTATATTTTTTTCTATATTCTCATATATTAGTTAAAAATTATATCAGTTATTAATTTTTAGGGGTAATCGTAAGTATTATAATACAAAAAAGAGCGTATTACAATATTGTTGGGGAATTTCAATTTAATCGAAATTCTATTTTAAAATGATTTACTGAATGAGTTTTCCGAAATTTTTGTTAATTTTTCGATTTTTTTTTTTTTTGGTTACCTAATTAATTAGGTATTCTGTTTTTAAACTTTCTTTAGGTCTAGACTAAGAATAGCATTCGCAAATGACATAAAAATTATATAATGAAATTCGTTCAATTTAAAATTATTAAAATTTGGTTTTTATTTCGTTATCTTTGTGGTTTTAAAATTTTGTAATTTAAATGTAAATAATCTACTGTTATACGTATAAAAAAAACCACCTATTGTTATGTTATTTAATAATAATTCCTAAAATTTGTTTTAATACAATATACTATATAAAAAAATTCGGATCCCATTCTATAACTCAATTTTGGAATCAAGTTCAATTTATAATTTAAATTTAAAGGTTTCGATTATAAAATCGGGTAAGTCCCATAATTATTTTTGATTTTCTTTTATTATAATAATGTTCTATCTTTTCAATAATTATAAATATAATTTATAACAAATATCTGCAGTCTAAAACTTACATAATATGAGTAAAATATTCTCATTTGGATTATTAAATTGCCCCATTTAATAACGCAATCGCTTAATTTTCTGTAAATATTGTCCATATTCAATTATAAATATAACACTGATAATATAATAAGTTTAGCTTTTTTTCCGCGAAAGTTTTTGGCGCTTTGCTGTTTATTATTTTTTTTTGTTATATATTTTTGTTTTTTATATTTTTTTTATTTTCTATTAGTTTCATTTTCATTCTAGAGGATGCTTAGCTCTAGTAATATTATTCTTTAATAAAAAATAATTTTTTATTAATTTCAGTTTCAGTATGTAACTAGAAGGATAAGCACTTGTTTGACCACTTAAAAAATTTTTGTTAATAAAAGTATATAAATATTTAAATTTAAAGAAAAAAGTTTTTAATTTAAATGATTGAAAAATAAATAATTTTTTAAACTTTTTCGAAAATTTTTTTTTTTTAGTTTTATTTATAATAAAAAAAAAACTAAAATAAACGTTATTATTAATAAAAATTTTTAATAATTTTTTTTTTTTTGTATAAAAGTGAAAAATATTTTAATCAAAATGAATTCAGATATTATTCAAAATGATTCAACAACAATATCACCAACTTTATTGAATAGATCTTCAAATGGAATTGAAATTTTTAAAAATAATGTTGCATCGAAATCAAGTCTTTCCTTGAATATCGTTGCAATATTTTTTATTTTGGGTGTAATTGGAAATTTTTTGGCTCTGGTCATATTATCGAAAAAGAAAAATACAAAGAATTCTAAATATACTTTAATGTTAAGGTAAATTTTAATTGTAATATTTAATTAAATACGAAAATGGGAAATTTTTTTTTAAAAAATTAAATAAATATTATTTTCGTTCTCCAATTCCGGATTGAGAATTTAAATTCCATTTTTACAATTTGACGCTAATTTGGGCGCTAATAAAAAGAAAATTTAACTAATCACTGAATTCAAGAATTACCGTCTAATTTGATTTAAATTTACATGAATATTTTCAAATAAAATTGTCATTCTTAATTGTTGGATGGTCTTTAAGATTTGAGTTCATTACTTTAATCGCGTTGTAATTAATTCTAATTTCTTTAAAATTCAAAGTGTAAGTGGTGCAAAATTTTTTATAACCAAAATGTAAATAATTTTACTGACATAAATGTTGTAATTTTACTGTAATATTGCTATTTTAATGTATTATGTATTATCATAGACTATATATTGTCATAGACATATGTATTATCACAGACTAAATAATATATTATAATACAAGCGAACATATTTTATATAAAATATTCTTGAAAATTTCGCCCAAGTTATTTTTGTGTATAAACTACGGAAAGTGAGAAAACTAAAAATTTGTTTCTTACTTCAAAATTTGGAAAAAAAGAAATTACATTTTTTTTTCTTATATACTATACTATATGGCATTATGTGAAATAGATTTTACAACATTAAGACAGAATTCCGAAACCCTCTTGAGTTGAAAATTTCAATGAAATTGTCGGATATAAGCGTTCGGATACAAGAGTCTTTTCTGATTAATTTTTAGATTTGATATAAAAATTTTATGCATGTCAACAAGTGGTTAGCGGAAATTTAAATTACAGGGGGAAAAAAATGTATGATTTCAGTAAATTTATCCTACCTCCATTTCTATTTTTTCCTATGTTTCTGCCTTTGATGACTTATATTTTTAGAGTCTAATCTTCATTAGTAATCACAAAGGTTTTAATGAATTAAAAAAAAAAGTTTTAAATGCATACACTGTAGAAAATAATTTTCAAAAGATGAATAAATATTTATAAATAAATTTTCTTCTTCATTAAAAACTACGTATTTTAAGCTGCCAATGCAAAACTAAAAAATATTTATTTTTAGTTTTAATTTTTAAACCAATTTATTTTTATTATAATTAATTGAAGTGAAATAAAAGATACTTTAGTGATTTATCGAATTTCTGTTGTTAAAAGCATTTTCATGTATCCTGGATGTAAAGTGTCATCCTTCCTAATGAAGGAGTGAGTTTAGGATTTTATAAGATTTTATTGATACATGAAATTTTTAATTGATTTCTTTTACTATAAATTTAGGTTTTTATTTTGTTCCTTGCGAAAGGATAAGATAAAATTAATTTTAAAATTGAAAAAATATAGGAGGAAATTTCATACCCGTGCAGTAGGTTAGAATATGATATGCAATATTTTAATCATACTTTATATACCGAAAGGTTTTAATTCACTAGTTTTCAAATTGTTGTGTCTTATGTTATTAAACTATTAATAAAGGCTTTCTAAAAATAATTTGAAATAAAAATTTATTATAATTTCAAATTGTGCCATTTTCAATTATTTTAATTATATTTTATGGATTAGAAGGCGACAATAGTTGAATGATTAATTAAAATTTTATTAAGAAAATGATAATGAAAAGTTCGTATTTTTTTTATTATAATTGATTGGTAAAGGATAAAAAAAAATATTATTTTATTGTTATTGCACGTTTAAAGTAAATTAATAAAGTATTTTTAAAAGATGTTTTGAAAAAATAATTCTGTTTTTCAAGTTGATTTCGTCTACCTCAATCTTGATAATATTTTCAATAATTTTTTTTAATTTGGAAAGTGTAATTCCAAATCGGAAATATCTTCTCTTATATTTCAAATTTAGGAGTCAATAACCTACTTAAAAGTAATTTAAGTCATGTACCAATTCAAAACCTAAGATACATATTGCTTGAAAAATTCAGTTAACTGAGGGAATCTTTTACAATATCACTTAATTCATTTAAATTTAAAATAAATTACAATTCCATCTTATATATAGAATTATATTGAAATTTAGTAAACGTGGAATCCTTATTATAACTAATTTTAAAAATTCCGGATAAATAAGTTAATTTTAAATGTAAAATTGGCTGTTAGTAAAGATTTAGTATATCCTGTTTATAGTTCTCTCGAAAAAAATTTGTGTGGTCTATTCTTTTAATATTCCATGGCAACACGAGCATTTGTTCCTGATATATTCATAAAGTTGATCAATTCATTATATCTTTCAAAGCAAATTCAATTGCAAATTTTCATCATAATATTGATTCTTGAGTCGAAATTGATATGCATGAAAAAACACACAAACAGAGAGACTGACAGAATGACATTTCTTTAAAAATATTTACGTTTCCCTTCTATACTATATGGAGAAACGAATTTCTGCTGAAAAATCCCGACACTCGTATATCTGTAATGATCGTAATACCTCCCTTTGTTTTACGATTTAAATTATTCAATTTATTTCTTTTATAATGAAATTTACAATAATAAGTAAATACAAAAATGTGTTTTTTTTATAAATTTCATATTCACACTTTATATATACGCAATATCAGGCTATGTTATTCTTAGAAAAAAAAATAATATTATAAACATAAAGTCTATACACATACATAATATTAATTGAATGTCCTTTTTGTTCAATTATCTAATATTTTTGTTATGTTTATAGTTGATTCCATTTTTAAATTAAAAAAATAAGAAGTCGCACCGCCACTTATACCTCATATTCTTATGAAATTTGAGTTATTTCTTTGTGTACCTCGAATATGCACGCGTATAATAAGCGTATGTTACATGTATAGATAGAAATGGACAAATATCCTTAAAGTAAAATTGTAAATATATGAATTTAAATTTTGCGTGTATTAAGGAAATTAATATTTTTTTTTTAAATATAATATTTGTATTTATGTATGTATATAATATTTTTAGGTTTAAGTGAATAGAAATTTTTATTAAAGATTATAAAAATTATTAAGTTTTATTGTGCAGGATTATTGCTTTTGCGCCTAAAAATAATTTTGATTAAATTTTTTTATAAATAAAAAAAAAATATTTAGAATTTTTTATAGAATTGGTCATAGGTGTTCATGTAACATTCGTGTATATACCTAGATTGTAGATTTGTACAACGGGGGCAACAGTGCACCGCGACCACGTATAAGGATCTATTGTGCGCCCATATCCGAGTGCGGAGTATGCTCTACAACACACGCTTGAGACCCACCCTCCTGATGAACTCAAGCAACTTGTGAGGACCAGAAGATCGTTAGAGCAAAGCCTCCCAGCACCTCCCCTCTCCTACGAGTGAGAGCAACACACTGCCCCAGGAGAATCTACAATATACCTATATACATTAACTTCGTTTACTTAGAGATAAGCCGCACATATAGTAGTTCACGTTCAATTAAGGTAGATTATACCTTATTTAGGTATATTTCTTAAGCCTGATTTGATTATAACACTTATTTCTTATTAAAATTTTATATAAAAATATATTCGAGTCCTCTATAATAATCTACTTGAAATAATTCAAATACTTTATTTAGGATCAATTAATTTGAAAAATCTTGTTTAATTTAATAACTCTTAATTTAGTATATTTTGTTTAAATTGCTAATAATTATTAAATAAGAGTCAAATTTTTGATTATTTTTCATTTATTCTATTTTATTTATTATAATTTTACTTCTACTTCGTATAGGTCACTCACACATAAAATAATGTTATTGTTATTTCCTGGAAGAAAAAATTCATATTACATGCTTTATATGTGTATACATATATATGTATATATACCCACATATTTCTGTATTGTTTAATTAACTTTAAGTATTCCAATTGGCAAAATTTATTTTTATTAAGATATTTTATATTAAGAGTATATGTCCTTCAATATATCGAAATAAATAATTCATTTTCATAAAAAAAAAATTTGATATCAATATCCTTGTGCATATAGAAGTTAATATATATATTGGATTTATCTATACAATAGCAGAGTCATATAGCACCTAAAAATATTTTAGAAAATTATGAAATCAGTCCATAATTTTCTAAGAAAATTATTGTAATAACATTAAGTAAAAATGAGTGTTCCAAATTTCAAATTTCTAAAATTTTTCAATAAAATAAAAAATTTGTTAACGAAATCATGCCATCATTTGCAAAAAGGGTTTTGGTTTGAAAAACAAAGTATTATGGTTCATGACTCTTAGCAAAAACCATGGAATAATTTATATCGAAAATTTATTTTATTCTGAGCTGGAAGATTCGAGATTAACGACTTCAAAAATGGCAATAAGATTTTTATTACTATATTTTTGGTAGCTATCAAAATATTCGATAATTTAAGTGAAACTGCAACTAGTTTACACATAGCGAAAATGCTGTTTTTTAATGAACTTCAAGAATATTGTCAATTGATTAAATTTTTTTGAAAATTGAAACACTCTATACATAAAAATTTATCCCTTACAAGGTTTTATTACACTTTATCACATTATGGCTATAATTAAATGCAAATATATTTCAGACATTAATTCTAGTTCACTAAATTCTAATAGAATTGTATATGTATATGTGCCAATTATGTATATATATTGTATATCCAATTTTGATTGGATTTGTATAAGAATGCGGGTTCCATTAAGTTTAGTTTGCTTTTTACTTCCCACTGGCAGTATAATAAAATTTTATATTAAGACCAATTTTTCATTTAAAGTTCAAATATTTATGATGTATAATATACCATCATAAATATATTTGAATTTCATTTTTAAGTTATCGAGGTTCAATGAGATTTGATAAATTACCGATTAAATTGTATTCACCAATTCTAGGTAAAGCTTAAAGATTTTCCAGTTGGGTTATACCCCATTGTCTGCTACGTACATGGTTGGTGGATAGATATTGCACATTTTTAGTTTTAGGAACGATTGCGGGGTTATCTGGT